GGCAAGCCGATAAGCGCCTGAACCCTTTCGAGTGCTTTTGCGCGTCGGCCATTCCTTGTAGCACTGTAGAGGCACGGGTGCGATTGGGGACTTCCGGGTTGAGGGGAAAACAGTGTCACTCCATCCGATGACCCCCCTCTGTTCGTGCCACAGCCATTTCACTGCACGTAACTGCACCGATCATCTGCCAAGCCATTACGGGTCACTCGATTGCAACACGTCGTCCATCAGTCATAGCGGTGGGGTTAGTAGTATACAATGTATAAGCTATGCGACGACCGTGGTGATCGGTTCTTCGATGGAATGATGCGGTTTTGTGGGTTGCGGCTGAAACAAGGCCGCGATTTGTGTGATCAGAAGCAGAATCTTGATCCGATAAAGATCTCGAATCAAAAGGGCTGACTTATTGCGATTAGTGCGTAGATTGGTTGCTGTGTATAATTAACTCGCTTGCATACTTTGATAACGTTCTTTATTCATGCGAAAGTGGCTTAAAGGGTAAGCTTGCACGATTAGCCGTTGAGGCTCCCGCAGAGATGCGGCTGCTAAAAGCAAGAAAGAATTTAATGGGAGAATCATTACGGATAAGATCATAACCCATTGCTCAAGTGTGATTGCTCAACTAGTCTCAGGACGTTTTCGTCGCGTTTGTGCGTCTTTCTTTCTCTCATTTCATCCCCGACTTGTGTATATTTCGTAACATGCCCGGAAAAACTTGTATTTGCTTGATTCTGGCATTGTGCAACATATATGAACGCGGTCGCAGGAGTACTTGCCGATCTGACACTGAGTTTCCCGACTCGGTGAGCAGCTGTGACCACCTTATCCCTACCATAGCAATGACAAGATACAAGCGTTTGTGGCTTGCCATTTCTGTGCATCTTCGTAAATTCACACGCTACCTAAAATGTTGGGCCATTACCAACTAGGCTGATCAAATTGTCTTTTAGGCTCACTAAGTTGTTCATTATTTCTCACAAATTGCTGCCATAATTTTGATTCAAGTACGTCGTTTTTCTACACTGTTAAATGACTTGTGATTAGATTTACGGATTGCTTTCACGTCGTCTTCCGAAGCTGAAATAACTGATGATACCTTACTGGAAAAGATTGATCGATAAGCCCTGCATATCGACGCTATTACATGGAGATAATGTAGATAATACACGTGTATCTCCTTCTTGTCAGACACACGTTCAGACAGTCCACGCCGACTTGCCGCTCTTCTGGAAAAAGGGAAGCCTTAAGCATCGTCTCAGAGGTTCGCGTATGATCATGCCAGCGCGCATGTCACTGGGAAGGTTCAATGAGATTCCCGTAGTATGCAGGGGCGCTTTATCGTTATTGACGAAGCCCGGACGCGTTCTTAGTCGCACTGGGCGATAAGCATCAGCGTCTGCATTGCCGCCGTCGTAGATTCGAGCAGTGATGACAAACTGCTAGTCACGTGTTGCTACGTTTCTAGGCATTTTCTTAGGTGTTCTTCCGCCTGTAAGCCTCACGACCCTTACTGATCGGAAACGGCAGGAAGACCGTTCCTTTTCAGGAACGGAAGGCTTGATTCTTTCATTTTATTATGCGTTGCTTCGATGCATTTCGTAGCCCAAACCTAACCCGAGTTTGCCGAAACAACTCCGAAGCGTCATAGGCGAAGGTGATTATGCCATGTTCGTTGTGCGGGTTTCGTGTCTGCGAACCTGGTAGGGTGGCTGCGAAGTCTCATACGTGGTGACCTCGATTCTGGGTGTCACCTGCCGGGTGGCGATGTGACGACTTTGAGCGACCGAAATGGTGAAGAGATGTGCCGTGTTCACAACTGCAGCTTCCAAAATGGACGTCGACGATCCATCGGGAGAGGTGAATGTTTGTTGAATCAGCCACTTTAGCGTAGACACACCCGTCGCAAGCAGCGCGATGGCCATGCTTTCTTTCAGCTTTACTTTGACTACTGTTTCCGCCCAACACACTGAACATATTTCGTAGTCAGGCGTACTCGACGGGTTTTTGTCATGAACTAAACACTACCTCCAGAGCTTGAGTGCGTCGTAGCGTTAACCAACAGAGATAAAAGTGCCTCCGGACAGCCTTACCAGGAATCTACAGCTTGGTTTTTGGAGTGGTCCTTTGGTGGCTCTTACCTGACTTTTGGAAACTATAACTTGTCTTCGGTAACTGAAACGTGCTGTCGAATTGCGTGTCTGTTCATGCAGTTAGGTGTCGTCGGCCTAACTGCATAGTAACTGGCTTGAAATAGAAAAGACGTGGTGGCAGTGTGGGACAGCTTGAAATCATTTCGTACGTTTCAAGTGTTTGAAAGGAATGACCCGGGAATGTTCAGTTATGGTATGCAAGCTATCATCGCTGTGAAATAATAACGGTGTGAGCGTTGTGTCAGTAATTGAGTTGAATAAACCAGTGAAATGCACCGAGAACAATAAATCTTACTCGACAGTCCATTCACTCGCTTGGCGACGCCTCAATTTCGCAGACAGAGTGAGAACACGAAGAGTATCTGTCTGGGCGATGAGAAGCGAGTGAAACATTGCTAACGAAGTTGTTCTTGTAGGCGATGTCGTCCATGTTGCTTAAGATGTGTCCCTTAATGTAGCAACAACATTCTGTCCTGTAACAATTGACCGAAACGTATTTAGTCTCGTTTGAAACTAACAACCGTATTGAAGTCTTGATTACACATTTACTTAGAGTGACTATTAAATGCACTCTAGAGATGTTCTACGTGCAGCCTTGGTTATTATTGATGGTTGACTACGGAATCTTGGATTTGACCGAAATATTAAGGAAGCCGTACCGGTTTGATCGCCAATGACCGGAAAGCAAACCGCATAAGCCTTGTACTATGCCAATCGGTATACGGTAAAACGAACCACGCGAAAGATAAATGATACCCTGAACCGAAACGTTTCGATTCATTTGAAGCTGTGGCGTAAACCGGCAAGCGCTGAGCACGTTGAAGCACGATAACGTTTTGCCATGAGCCACGATTCACTGAGCGATTTGATTTTTCTTTCCAGTAGAACTTTTGCACTACTCGGAACGACCTTCGATCACTTTTTTTTTTAAATCTAAGATGCTGCTTTGACTATCAGTATCCCGTAGGATCACTTGAAGCGTAACTGAACATTTTTTCTGGCCTCGTTATGCATTCTTCGTTGAAGGCGTAGGGACCAAAGCTTTCTTGCATAATACTGTGTTCGACCTGCAGCTCTGTCCCATACCTCGGTAGAACACCGTTGCATATAAGTGCGCATTTGGCACTGTACGAGTGATTTGGAATTGACCTGCAGGTCGCGTAAGGGCAAAAGTCGGCTACATCACTTATGAGTGCGCTGACAGCGCAATGCTCCAGTCAAAGTGCATGCTCGTGTGTATCCAATGCTTGCGACTTTTACCGTCTTGGTTGTTCAAAGTGGCTATGTTTTTGTAGGCACTTGTTTAGTTAAAAAAAAATGTGTCGGCAGGCTCACTTACAAGCAAACTGAGCTTTACTCACTCCAACGCCATTTCGCAGCGTTGACAGAGAGTGATGAGTGCTGTTGACATGACTGGAGATGCTTGGTGGTTATTATAGTGTGGGTGGGTGCATTCGAGTGCGAAGCGAAGGTGAACAGCGGGGACCCTTAGTGGACGGTTACACAGTTGCCAGCAACTGTGTGCGAGTGTGACTAAACATAGATGCATGTACCAATGCCTGTCTGTCAGACACAGTTGAATGCGCTTTCGAAAAACATGGGTGGCGCCGTGTAACAGTGTTGATGGATATGCCATTATGTAAGTGAGTGAGGGCCGGCAATTGTGTATGTGCGAGTGCAAGTGAGAACGCGATTGAGTGCAGGTAAAAGTGAATGAGTGAGTACAAGTGTCCTTTTTCCGCCATTCCTTCGGTGCAGAGTGAAGGGCATGAGTACAGAGTCTCAGGGCGACCTCCCTGCCTTCTCTATCTCTGTTTATTACTCATCAATTGAGCTAAATATTTGTACTGAGAGTGCCAGACTGATATAGATGAACTGTAGATGAAAGAAAGCACGATTCTAATGAACAGCCCGAGTATTTACCGGGGCTACTTGTTATAAGGGGAACGTTAATGAAGATCCCCATCATTTCACACTCACGCTCCTATTGAGCCGGTGATTCGCTAGCCCTGAGAAGTTTGCAGACAAAGTAAATCTTGCGTATGTTGGTATCAGCTTAATTGTTAAGTCGAGAGCCCGAGATGCCTCATCAAACACGAAAATTGACCGTCGGCTGCGTCAATACGAGTACGTTAAAGAACCCCAGGTGGTCGAAATTTCCGGAGCCCTCCACTACGGCGTCTCTCATAATCATATGGTGGTTTTGGGACGTTAACCCCACATATCAATCAATGCGTCAATACGAGTGATGCACAAAATAATCACACTTATACGTATCTGCATGACGTCACCAGGACGTAACACATAGCCGAAGTACGTGACGTTAGCATGAGATTCCTACGACGTTGATGAAACGCGACATGATTACGTCATCACATGCTAACGTCGCTTGGCGAAAGATAGGCAGATCGCGGATGCATTTTCAAACCTAGTGAAGAGTAGTAAGCTTGCAGTGCTTGTTATCTTGAAAGCAGCGCCAAACCACGTTACGTTCAGAAAGCTTTCGCGGATTCGTAAATCGATTAATAAAAATAAGATAGCTTATACGTTCAAGTCGTCTTGGGGAAATACATAGCGGTCGTAATTGAGTTTAACAAAACAATTGTAGATAATTTAGAGCACTAGGTACTCCACTATAAGAGAACCGATTCTGAATACAAAGACTGACGAAGCTAACGCACAGCTCTGTCTTTGTCAGCCTTTGTCTGTTATGTTCAATTATATTTCGCCAACCTGCCGAAGTTTTCACGTTTCATGGCGTAATGGCCCCTTTGAGTCTTGTGCACGACCTACGATACAACTTTTGAAATGCCACTGCTTTCCTCACATTGCTTTTGTTCTCTGTTGCAGCAACTAGTGCTCTCGCTTCCCGGAGGACTGCCGGCCATGCCCGCTCGACGCCGGCGGGGGGTCGCCGGCAATCGGGCGAGCGGAGCCGGTGTGGCAGGAGGCGGTGGAGGGAAGGCCAGTGGCGGCACGGCGTCCAGTCTCTGCTCCTGCTTCTCGTCGGGACCCGAAGAGCCTCCCGAGATCACCTACCACGTGGTCGAGAACGGCGTGGTCACTCTGCCGCCGCCACCGCTGCTCACCCCGACTCACCCGATGCCGGACGAGGCCGAGCTCAACGCCAAGTTCGCCGAGTTGGTGGTACGTGGTGCACGAAACGTGGCGCGTGGATTCCCGAAATGAGTGCCTTTTGAGGTGGCAGACTTGGCTGGTTAGTTTCGCATCGTACCTATGGTAGCACCGTGAGCTTAAGCGCGTAAATGAAGAAAGAATCTTAAATGGAAAACAAGCGCCATCCATATTTTCAGGTTTGGAGACCACTTCGGTCTTTTCCTTAAGGGGTTGACTCTGATCAGCCTGTTGGGAATAGGTCGAACGGGTCTCAAAACGCAGGGTCTATCCGAAAATGTGACTAGCGCAAATTCAGTATCTAGGGTCCTTTCACCTAGGCAGAGAAAGAGACAGAGAGAGAAATAACTTTATTGGGTTGAAAAAAGGAGGAGTTTAGGAGCTAGATGGGTGGGGCCCCATGTCCAAAGCTCCACTGGCTTGCGCTGCACGCCGAACGTGGTCCAGGAGTGCTAGGTGCATCTCCGGGTCCGAGCTAGTGAGGAGTGCCTCCCACTGCTCCAAAGAGTTTTCCATTCTATACATATGCTGTAAGCGATCAAGTTCATTTGGCCGTTTAGCACAACTGCACGAGTTAGGGTAAAGGGTCGGTGGCGAGTCGCGACACCACGGACAATCTCGCCCATACAAAGTTGGATGAATTTTGTGCAGACATACCTCTGTTGAAGATGTTTACGAGCGATGATGAAACATACGAAGAGAAGGGCCAACTTTCAGTACAGTGTACTAAACCTCCTTGGTACTAACCGTGTTGTCAAACACCACAAAAGCTGGTAAAACTACGGGTATAAGAGTTCCGGTCACACCATAGCTACTGACAAGGCCATTAGCGTATTACCATCAGTAGATCTATTTATTTAAAGTTCATAAGGCACATTTGAATGTTGTCGCGCGGTATTTAAAATTTTAGGATTTTCCAGATGACAAAAAAACATTGTGCATGTGTTACCCCAATTCTGTGACCTTCCTTTTGGATAGCGATAGCGTTCATGCGATGTAACTGGTACTTTACCCGTAATGACTATGTACACTCAACGTCGGCTGGCGACAATGAAAAAAAAAAAAAAAAACAGCAATGTCGACTGGTGGTGTTCTATCTGCATATGGTGAGACAGTCGAATGGTGGTTTATATGGCAGGGTTTTTGGACGGATGAGCCACATAATACTATCGCCTTATAGGAACGGGCTCCTGAAGATATCATACCCTTGAGCTTTCTTCGCGTACCAAAACGTTGAATGTCTTTGCAGAAGCGGTGTTGTATTGTTTCAGAAGACGTGAAAGCAGTCAGAGCTACGTTGGGCGTGCAGAAGCAATGAACTGTTGTGTAAATGGCCCATTGTCTCTATTTCAGGACGAACTTGACCTCACGGCAGCAAAGAAGGAGGTCATGTTCAACTTGCCATCGGAAAAGAAGTGGCAGCTTTATCTCAGCAAGAAAACGGTGAGAATTGTTCTAGGCTTGCCTTCTGACATTATTCAGAGGCTCGAATTCAAAACAGCATTCATTTTTCGGCAAAGTGGTACAGGAATGCTGATGTATCAGCTTTACTGTAGGCATAACGTTAAAAGAGCAGAAAGTGAAGCAATAAAGTAGTTTACTATGATATACTACACTCTGAAAACTCCAGTCCCTTCAGTTTCACTGTTACAGGTTTTAATAATTAAAATAAATCGAAGTGAGGAGCATCACACTTATTTTACTCCCCCAAATCTATGCTCTTAGGTTACGGATTTTAGGGTATGTATCTTGGACACATTGCCTCAATATAGTTTTCTGATACTTGCTATGCGAAGTCTTTAGCTCCGTCAAAGAACAACATTACTTCAGTCTTACTGATTAGGAAATATGCAGGCCCTAATAGAAGTCACCAGAATCAATCAAGCGTCGAAGATTGATGCGGAAAATTTAAGATGGCGTCTCCACCAGAAGTTTGTTGCTTGTGGTCGTATTTACCAGGCTTCTGCTCTCTGTAGATGTCACTTTTTTTGCATTGTGGAAGAGTAATTTATTAATACAAGAAAATCATTTTCTCTTTAGTGTCCCATTAGGAGGCTGTAAGGCTTAAGTATTCAGACTAAAACATTAATGAATTTGTTCAGGCAATAAATACATTGTTTCACAATAAGGAAAACGTACAGGATAGGGCACTCCACCAACATCATTTTTGCAACGCTGAGCAAAAACATCTACAGCGTTTTCAAAGGCAAGGAAAATAAGATTTCCAACACGTATAAGGTTATATTCGTCAGTTACGCAGTGATATGGCGAGAAGTACAAAATATACAGACATATGAACTGTTTATAATAGTAATATGAGATTGTAGAATGAAAAAGCAAAATGGTATAAGCAATACTGTACTCGATGCAAGGCATAACATATCCTAACTGGTGTTCAAGCTGAAGTAGTAACTAACATTTAATTGGGCAAGTTACCTAAAACGTACAACAGAAAATTGGTTGTAATAGAGGGGGCACTATGGCAACTGAACATTATTTGCCAAAAAAAGAAAGGTAGAAGCTGGGTTATGATATGTAATGTAATAGAGTGGCATCAGACAGACTAAAATAGTGAAAGTCTATCTCAGATCGTCGGCATAATCTTTTTGTTTACGAATATTCTTTTGTGGCAATTGACGATAATGATATTTGCAATTGCTAAACACTCGCAAGTACAGCAGTAGAGAAACTATATTTCTAAACTGAACCTACTGAAGAAATGATTGATACCTATGTGTAAAACTGGCTAGTCACATACACGATGGGTTTCCATCGTAAACATTACATTAAGAAAATACACAAACAAACTCATGAATGAAGAAATTTGTGTGTTGTGAATGGAATCTTTGTAAATCTTTATATATAGTGCATTCACCTACCACTAACTCGTTATTTGATTATTGTAATTTTATTAGGTTAGCCAACTCCACAAAGTTTTGTAAATAGTACTCAAATTGCTTTCGTTCCATTTGCAAGTTTGAATTTATATGGATTTTATTTATTGAGTGATGCATTCAAATTTGGCTAGCTTGTGAGGCATCTTTTGTAGTCTGAACCCATTGAAGCCAAAAATTTAATAACAATATGGCTTTGAAATATGCATATCTCTTCATGTACTTGCATACAAATTATTACAAATTACTTGCATACATATCTCTTCATGTACTTGCAACCAAATTAAACCTGCTCTTCGAATATTCTTTAGCAGTCTCTTTTAGATCTGATGCCATAAAAGGTCGTGTCTATATACGTAGTTTAGCTAACTTGCAATTAAATCCTTCAACGCGCCTAAACCGACACTCTGAATATTGGCATGTGCCGAGACCCCGCACAAATTATGGTTTTCAGACATTGAGTTATTGCTTGCTGAATATACTAAATAAATTAGGATATAATTATGAAAATGTTCGTATGCTGTCTAATATTTTAGGGGCGAAGCTCCTTAGGGCGTGGGCTGTGCGTTTCCTGTAGCCTGTATGTAGCCACCTCTAGTTTAGTTCTTGCAGTGTTCACTAGATGGCGGTACCGTCCCCTGTATGTAGCCACCTCTAGTTTAGTTCTTGCAGTGTTCACTAGATGGCGGTACCGTCTCCTGTATGTAGCCACCTCTCGTTTAGTTCTTGTAGTGTTTACTAGATGGTGGTACTTGTAGCTGATGATGAAAAGATGCAAGATGTTATAAACTAGAAAGCGGTACTTGTAGTTAATGAAAGACGCGAGATCTTATAAAATAGGAATGATGTCACATATGGCGCGTGTCATTGGTTGAAGGCAATCGTTCGATTTAGTGCGGCGACGTACGCTAGGGGGAGCGATGTAATAAAATCGAGTGGGCAAAATGTACAGAGGATTCATGGTTTACCAGGTTTACCTCCGGAGCTTCGCCCACTCATAATCATTCACTTCGTGGATATGGCGGAATTTTTTTATTTTAAATATGCTTTATTAATTTGTGTGTAGTATTATTTTCTGTTTGATTAGTTTTTTCTTTCGATGTATAGCATGTGCGTTTTTGGTTAGTATAGTTTGTTTAAATTTTTTGTTCTGATGCAAATCATATGCATTGCTGGTTTAAACTGTCCTTGTTTAATTTGGTTTTGCCCTTTTTGTTGACACAGTTGCCATGGGGATATGGGGCTTTGTCAAGCTGTTTTATACAGCTTTTTTCCTCTGTCCCAGCCACTTACTGTACAACTGTACGTGGTAAATAAACTAAACTCAAACTGATACTGCAGGAACAGCACGACACAACCTCATCTCATTTTCCGGACTACTACATCGAACGAGTGAATGCCATGTCTATGGTAAGTGGCAAAAGTGGTATTTGAAATAATGTTCCACCGTTGAACCGGATGACTATACAATATTTGCAATAAATACCAGGAACCATTCGTGGTGTCGCACTCTACCTGAGATGATTGCATGAAATAAGAGTTTTACTAATGGTAGGACGTAAATGTCACATACATATATTGAATAGAACTAGTCGAGTAATTTGCTATTGAATTGGCAAATGGTAATTGTATTAGTCACTTTGTTTGATTTTGTCAATATTAATAGTGAGCTTTTCATTATGGTCAGTTGTCACATGTACTAATCGACATCGAACAAAATTCTGTAATTCTGTAATTTTATTTCTGTATTACTTTTAATATCTGTAAGTGATTACACAACTTGTTCTGCGAATAGGCAGACTATATTATATAACAGAAGCATTTTTTCAAAGAGACACAATTTTTTTGCAGAATGATGGGCTTATTGTGGCATGTGCAATAGACTATATAATTCTGTAAGACTGCAAAGAGCGGCTAATAAAACAAAGTAAACAAGATTGAAGCTACACATAATGCGTACATTGTGAACAGGTTTATTGATTGTGACCAGATATGTGCTGTTGGGATCTGTGCCTTGCAAATGTTTCAAAAAATAATATTAGCCACGTATATACATCATGCCCACAAACAGTGTCTGAATTTTCACAAGCCAGCACAATCTTGCCGCAAGCTCTCCCCCGTTTTCGAATGTGTTCAGTGTTTCTGCTTAACACCAAGCTGTGCTGTAAATTATGGTTACCAATTATGCAAGAGTTTACATATCTAGTATACGCCTGTAGTGTATATTGGTTACTGAACTGGCATAATTGATCTTTTATCGAGTTAGAAATGCTCATAAGCTGGAAGTGCTCATAGGTGTCATAAATACAATGTTATGGTATTTAACAAAATGCATGACATACCATTAGTTTGGAAGCATGACCGGCTACTGCAAAGGCAAGATGGATATCGACAAAATAAAAAAATTTGGTGGTATGAAACGAAACCAGCTAGCATAGAATAGTGTAGGTGCGAAGTCATTGCAAGAGACCTTCCCTTCACAGTGGACATACGATAGGCTGATGATGATAATGATGTTAATGTACGAAGCGAACTTGTAATGCTTATCATCCTACTTAGCTCCTGTTTCCCCGAGAAGAGGAGGAAGTCAACACACGTGCCAAACTTCTCGACAACCTCAAGACTGCACTACGGACTCAACCGAACAGGTGGGTGCACAAAGAAAGCCAGGAAGCTCAGGTTGTCCATGTTTATTCAGATCTTCTGTGTCACTTAGCCAATGTACGAGTTTTTTTTTTTTTTCAATTTAAGCAAAATATGCTTGAATTTATAAGACTAGAAATGCAGGTGCTACTGGTACATCAGTGAAACCGACAGTTTCTACCTAGCCAAACTTTTGCTCCATGTTTAGTTGTCGAGGAATGAAACACCAAGTATTTGAAAAAAAAGGGTTCTTTGTAATAGTTACCTATAACTTGCCCTTCTGTTGGTTAAAAATGGTGTTCTAGTATATTTCCACCGCTCGACAGCAAAATCTATAAGCACAACAAACTGAAGTGTTCAAAAGATTGTGTATCTTTGTGGTTGTATTTTCTTGCTCATTTCAACTCATTATTTGCCCTTTACAGCTTCGTGACGCGCTTTCTGGACCAGGATGGCCTTATCTGCCTTCTAAACTTCCTGGTCGGAATGGACTACAACACGGCTCAAAGTCCGATCCACACCTCTCTCATTGGATGCGTCAAGGCGCTCATGAACAATTCGGTATGAATACTACTCACTGTACCAGACTTATCTACTTTAAAAATCACCTTTTCAATGGTGCCTCCTAAAAATAACGTTGCTCTGGAATGTTACCTTCAATGGTAGTTCCAAGGCCAACTCTTTATTTTACTGTTCACAGATTGCCAACTCACAAGATGTTGGAGTTATTAGGCTGTTTTAGTTTCACGTACGTAGGGACTTCACGTACGCAAACATGAAAAGTCTACATACGTTACGTGCACGCCACCTGAAACGCTCTTAGCTAAACGTATACACGACACACGGTGAGAGCTACCTTGTATAGCTTTATCTGGAGGGAATCGCGAACACTGCAGTAGCCAAGTCTCGACACGCTATCTTGTTATCGTGCTCAACGCGCGCTATCTTCTCCGGACAGCCGCGCGGAACTATCTACGTGCGCAAGAAACGCATGCAAAGAATCTTCTGTGCAATCTTCTGCGCATGCACACTGCTTACACATAGAAGCTCTATCTAGATAGCCTCCTAGGAGCTTCTACATAAGTGAAACTAAAACTGTTTAATGAAGCACACGACCAGAGAAAAATAGAACGTGCGCCGGGTCTTCTTTTATGCCCGCTGCAAATATTTGCGGGGCCAGCGTTAGTAGAGAATGCGTATTTAAAGCCATGCGAAGCCGCCGGGTGTAGCAGCGCTATTCGGTGTGAATAAATGGTATTAGTGACGTTGACGTTTGAGGTAAGGTCACTGCCTGGGGGTGTTTTAAGCCGTTGACAAAATTGCATTACTGTTATTAAAAGTTTCACCCCCGTATTCAGAAACGCTCCTTGACTCGAACTTGACTTGAAATTGCCTTAAATGCAGTGCGTTTGAAACGTATCTGTGAATTTGTGCTGCCTTGGCACCGCCTAAGGGCAGTGCATTCAAAACACACTTGGGCTGCATTAAAGTCGGTGGCAAGTGTGATGTTCAAATCAAGCATCGTTTTAATGACACGTTGAACGAAATAATCCCAGATGCCATGGTCATGAATCTCATGATGCATTGATGTAGTTTATCAAGAACGCTGTGGAAGCACAGTAGTAGATATAGAAGGCGTATTTTGTAAAGCATATATAAAGCTCGCAGTCGCGATACTGTGGATAGAGTGCCCAGCATGTGCTGTCGCAGACCTAGAGGTCTGTGATGCAGGTTTCTTGTTGCTGATTTGTTTTTCTCCCGGGCTGAGCCTCAGAGAGTTTTGTTAATAAGGACAAAGCCGTTCGGTTTCCAAGAAACACACAAAAAGTTTAATTGAAAAGAAAAAAGGCAAAGATTCCTCACAAAAACAAAACACTTAATAAACAGTTGACTGGACATGACGAAACACATCTGTAAACACCCAACAAAAACGTTCAAAGTCAGTAACTAAACCTAACGTTCGAAAGGGGCTGAGTGATGGGAGTAGCGCAAGAGTATCGGTGCAGTCTCACCCACAAGTTGGTTTTCGGCGGTGATGAGAAACCGGAACGCCGTGACTCCTGCGTCAGTGCGTGGGCTGGACGAGGACGAGGGAACGCTGGCTGCTGGCGACACGTCGAAAAGCCCTACCAAATCGTGATGGTTTCGGCTTGAGGAGCGTGGACACGTCGGAGACGGGAGAACGCAGGCTGGTGGCGACGCGTCCGGGAACTAGGGTCGACCTAGTCAAGCAGCTGGGCGCACAGCTCGGGCCCGGAGCCCGACGGCTGTAGCTCGCCTGCCGGAACCGAAGTCCGCAGGCTCTGGAAAGGAGTTCAGGACCGGATGGCCACGGTCCTTTGGAGCGGGAACCCGACAGCAGGAGGCCCCGGCCGGTGGAAGTCCTGTAGGCTCGGGTCCGGAACCCAACGGCCCATCTTCAGCGCCCGGTCCGGTGACGACCTTCCGCTTGCACTGCCTGCCTCGAATTCCCCTTGCTCTGGTCTGCTCAGGCTCCTGCTTCAGCTCTGGCCCACTTGTCTCGTTCTCATTGGAGATACTGCTGTTTCGTGGTGTCAAGCCATTGGGCCTTGAAATCTCCGTGTTCGCTGCCCATTGGATGTTTTACCTTTTGTTTACTTCACGTCCTGCCACGCATCCTCGTGCTTGACGCTCTTTAACGTCGTCATTCTTGTTTAAGCAGCACCGCACGTGCACTCTGGTATTTCTCCTTTTGTTTTTGTTTTTTTTTTTTTTTTTTTTCGTGACGCGCACTTTTCGAAGGCGCGCACTTTGAACGCGCACCACACATCACATACGCCCCCCTTTTATTCAAGTTTTTTTTTTTTAGAAAAAAAAAACTGCCGATGAGTGCGCGTTCTGCACTACGTCACAATTAAACCACATATTTGCACCACGCAGTTCAACACATCACCGGGCTACAGTTCGCTACATCGTCCAAATGTCCACACTTAAACTTTAGATTCACCCAATTGCATTTAAAAGTTCTGAAACCCGGAATAAACCTTTTTACTACAAAATCGACTATGGACAAAGCTACTTGTGTCCGCATCTAAAAGTCGAAGTCCAGAAAGAGCTACCGGTTTTCTAACCCTACACTCAGGTTATCGCGTCCCAAACCAGACGCACTGCCCTTCTCGCACGTTTCGAAAGTAACTGTGGCAAACATGCTTTTATGCACTTTCGCTGAAACGCGTGTCTGCGCCCCCGCCGGCCACATGAACGCTTACCGGTCACAGAGGAACAGGGCGCGGTCTCGAGCCGTCGGCGTCGACACGAAACGCACTGAGACACGAATGTCCAAATGCCACAATCTCTCACACAAATGCTTTCTTTTAGTTCACCATCTAATGAACACAAGCTCGGGGTGCCCTCAGCAAGCCCAAACGCTCCGACAAGCGTGTGAGGTTCCTGGATTCTTGAGAAGGGATGCCGTTGTGCTCGGTCATTATACAGCTCATCTTGAGTGGACTTAATTATAGGTTCAAAACCAATCACGTTCTCAGGTTCAAGACCCTGTCTGGCATTCTCCATACCTACTATCGAGCCCACCTCCGATTCGATACTGTTTATTTTGAAGAGTGCTTCAGCACTCCCATCGTGTTTTCTCGGACAAATAGCAGTTACGCTATCCTGTGAACTAGAATCCCCTCTCTCTCTGAGTGAGATATACGTATGGTCTAGGACCATTGACGTGGTGCCTGCTGCTACCTCTGTCGGTACAAAACAATCAGTGGCCACTATATCAGAGCCTTCATGGCATTCGCTGCCATCTTCCCAATGACGTTCTAGCGCTCCTTCCATGGAGCTATTGAGAGGTAGCCCTACCCCTTCCCGAAATGTGCTCGGCCTTTGAGACGTTCTGATACACACCTCATTCTGAATGGAACTTCTTTGTTCCCTGCTATCGAAGCTTTGCTCCACCACATTTTCCACAGCTTCTAGGTCGCCCATATCCAGGCGCTCTTCTTCATAGGTGCTTGGTCTCTCAGAGGTCCCCAAGCCGCTAACGGAAGTAATATGTTCCCAGCCAGAGAAGCTTTCCGTCGCTTCAACAAACTCCTCATGACTCCTGCCTTCTTGGCTGTCCACCTCTCTGCCTTCCTCTATCTGAGCTTCTCGCTCCGAAGTAAGGCTGTCGCGAGGTTCGAGGCCAACCTTGCAGGAATCGACTTCCCTCCAGCAAACGCTGCTATCGGAGCAAACATTCACCGCTTGCTCGACCTTCTGCATCGCCAGCTGCCCCCTTTTCGCCATCGCAAGCTCGAGTCGCCGCTCGAAGTCCACCCTCTCTAATTGGAGCTGCTGCTTCAGTATGCGTGTCTGACGCTCTAGCAACACTTTATTTTCACGCGTTACGCGCTCTAGCTCCTCCTTCTTAGCTCTAAGCACCAATTCAAGCTTTTCCTTCGCCGCCTTTCGTTCTGCAGCCCGTTGCTCACGCTCCCTCTCCATCCGCTCCTCGTACCATACTCTAAACTCCGCTCCCGTCAGTCCCATTTTATCCGCCAACTCAATTAACTCCCACGTGTTCGTCATCGTGTTAACCGCGTCAAAAAATCTACTGGAAAAACAAACGACTTTGTCCTGTCGCTGCGGACGCCAATTTGTGAGGCGGGTTCTTGTTGCTGATTTGTTTCTCCTGGTTGAGCCCCGGAGAGTTTTTCTAATAAAGACGAAGCCGTTTGCTTAACAAACAACACCTAAACATTTACTGCAGAACTGAAGCAAAACTCAAACACAAACTACAAGAAATGAGTAGCTGGCTAAAAGCGGGATTTAGAAGGAAAACAAACATCTAAAGTCCCGAAACTGCCGACGGAAAGTCACAGCTACATGATGCAGTTCTGACGCGGTGATTCGGCGGTGCAGGGAAGAGAGCAAGTTCGATCTCACCAAAACGTTGCTGCTGTAATGGTGGCGACGGCGTGTACCAATGCTCGCTGGCGGCGACGATGGAACGGGACTCGCTCGGTGATGCCTGTGGCGGCCCAGATTCGCCCGATGAGGTGGCTGGTTGCAAGGCTCAGGCCCGTGACCCGAACTGCCGTTGCTGCACCCGCACCGGAATCTGCAGGCCTTGGTCTCGACCGTTGAGGCAGCTCGCCGTCCTTGGAAGGCGTTGTCCGGAGGTCCAGACCGGGTGAAGTCCAGAAGGCTCGGGTCCGGAACCCAACGGCCCATCTTCAGCGCCCGGTCCGGTGACGACCTTCCGCTTGCACTGCCTGCCTCGAATTCCCCTTGCTCTGGTCTGCTCAGGCTCCTGCTTCAGCTCTGGCCCACTTGTCTCGTTCTCATTGGAGATACTGCTGTTTCGTGGTGTCAAGCCATTGGGCCTTGAAATCTCCGTGTTCGCTGCCCATTGGATGTTTTACCTTTTGTTTACTTCACGTCCTGCCACGCATCCTCGTGCTTGACGCTCTTTAACGTCGTCATTCTTGTTTAAGCAGCACCGCACGTGCACTCTGGTATTTCTCCTTTTGTTTTTTTTTTTTTTTTTTTTTTCGTGACGCGCACTTTTCGAAGGCGCGCACTTTGAACGCGCACCACACATCACAAGGTCATAGGTTCGACTACTGTTCACGGAAATTTTTCCTTTGTCTTCTGATCGTACGTATTTTTTGACATCATTTAAGGGACAGAAATATGTCACTAAAGTCTTGGTGGACCGCGTCATAAAACACCTTCGCGTTAGAAGAACCTATACAGACGCCATGTCGGGCAAGGAATCGCATTAACCTATGTAATATAGAGTGGCAGAAGAGTAAGACAGCAACCAGTCATGGTAATTAGTAATTGCACAGCGAGTGTGAGGTTAATGATTTCGACCTACTGCAAAAGGTTCGCCATAACTCTTCGCTGCCATCAGTCGTATGCGGCACTAACAAAGTGCACATAATACCTTACAGATCCGTAGCGGGTACCTCCCTTATCTGCAGGAAGACAAATAATAGCGTAGTGGGTGCTGTTCACAGAAATTGCTGTTTATGACGGAGTAAGTACGTACCATGCGGAAAGCCAAAGCTCCAAACGCAGTTTGCTTTGCCTCAACGTAAAGCTATGCTGAGAATGCACATTAGGTAGCATTGTAATCATTTGTGAATGTTAGCTTTATATATCTTATTTATGCCTTTTTTCGCAGAACGGCCGGGCCCACGTTCTGGCCCATCCTACGGCCATCAACACCATAGCACAAAGCCTGAGCACGGAGAACATCAAGACCAAGATCGCTGTCCTAGAAATCCTTGGCGCCATGTGCCTCGTGCCCGGAGGCCACAGGAAAGTCCTAGAAGCCATGCTGCACTTCCAGAAGCACGCGTACGAGCGCACGCGATTCCAGGTAAATACCACTAAATAATATCTATGATTCTTTGAAGAAAACGGTACAGAATATTCATGTAAAAAGCAATATTTCAGACTCGGGGGCAGAAGGCCGCTGCACGTTTTCGGGTGGGTCGAAGCAATTAATACACTGAGCATATAGTAGAGTAAGACTAATAGCTTCATCAGTGAACTAAGCTCATGCGATGCCAGGCTAACCACTCTATTTTGAGAGGACACTAGGGTAAGGTAGAAAACATAACAGAGCTGAACTTTATTTCCGTTGTCATTGCAGGAAGAGAGAGGTGCGAATAGAATGAATGGCTGTCAACCACTTTCTAGATCAGACGGAGCTTCAGAAGTTTTTGTCATGATTTCGCTAAAAATATTCTCAAGAACGTGCCTAGCCTAACCACAGTCCTGCTATAAAATTTAATAGTGCAATATTTAGCGTGAGCCTAATAATTACCTTCAGAAGAATCAGACCAAGAAATACTTTAGCCTAATATATTACTTTCACTTATTGTTTGTGAATACAAAAATGTTCTAACCACATGGGCTTCTGTTGTTATGCAGACTGTGCTCAACGATTTGGACAGGAGCACCGGCGTGTACAAGGACGACGGTGAACCTGAAGACAGCTATTATGTCTTTTGTGAACGCCATCTTGAACTACGGCCCGGGTCAGGAACACTTGGAGTTTCGGCTGCACCTGCGCTACGAGTTCCTCATGCTCGGCATCCAGCCCATCATTGAAAAGCTCCGGAGTCACGAGAACGCCACCCTGGACAGGTGAGGTGACTTCTGATATAACTGTGACCAATCTGGTGATCAAGAATTACAAATGTGGACATTGAATGAGGAGACGAACATGAATGATGTAGACGTGGAACTGGGAGAATAATGGGAGAAGACGATAGGGGTAGCTCTTGCTGGAATGACATCTCCTGCTTTGTTGTAGCACTGACAAAAAGTGGTGATACACAGAAAGTAAAACATAATTAACAATACAGAGGGCTATTTGTTGTCACTCTGATATTCATCTTGTGTGTTTTTGTTTTTATCTTGACTAAGTTATGCATAGAGGTGGAGAAAAAAAGGCAATGGCTTAGTTAGAAATGAAGTTGCATTGTGTTTTCGCATGTATATATCCTGAAAGCATTCAATCAGTACAAAAGCACAAACAAAAAACTAGAGGTGATGCTATAATCCTCTTGATCCGACGATTTTTTAATAGTGCTATGTCACATGCTGGACGTGCACATGATCAAAATTGCAGTTGCGTGATAGCGCTCTTTGCATTGTCACTTACAATGTTGTCTCGTTCAAGTTATGTGACATATCAATTGTCACCCGTACCATATGTGAACCAAGTGAGCCGCAATGTATTGTAGTAAAACAACAACAACAACAACAAAAAAACAACGTAGATTGAAGAACTATATTTTAAGGTGCTTTGGTACACTGAATTTTTTAAAAGTTCAAACACGTAGCTATTTTTTTGGTACCTGTAAAGTCACAGGAGACGTCATGAAATGCACAGATGAATTGACCTAAGGTTAGTGTGGAATATGTAATTTGAATATTCCCCACTGTACAGAATACCTATTAGGCAATGAAAAAATATTTTAGGGCCTGAGAAATGAGTGTTTAGTAGCAGAAAACAATTAGAAGAATAAAGAGTACCAGTTTCTTTTCCGAAAATCATGTAGTGCACTCAAAATGGCAAATGAAAGTTTAAGGTTAAGCAAAATGATAAAACTAACATTTCTACCAAACGTCTAACATCTCGTTTTCCTAAAGAAGTGCCAACTTCAGAGTCTTTTTTGATTAAGCCTCGTATAAGCACTTGCAAATATAAGTTCTCTTGCGTTTCTGTGCTCTTTAAAGAAATTAATAATAATAGAATAAGTGGTCACCTTTGCTTAAAATGTCACCAATGCTTGAAGGATATAAAAATAAAAAAAAAATTATATACATGTTAATAGTCTCGCATTTGGTAAGTTAAAAAAAATGATCGTTTGAACAGTGCACGCATACAATTGGCTTGCATGTGCTACTAATGTATTCCCCTCAATATTCATCCCAGATATTAGTGTTTTCAAAAACAATAGCCACAAAACTAACTTTGAAGCACTATCATTGCATTTTGATTTATTCGAAATGGCCACGGGTCTATTTAAGTATGAAGGGACGCATGTTAAAAGATGAGTAATTTTTGAGCAGGGGATGTCGTTTGATTCAATGTTTTGACAAAGGAAGTTGTCTTCTTCAATGCGACCTTGAAGAAGATAATACCACTTGCAGAAACACTACCTCTAGTGGCACCTTTTGGTTGAAATTTCTTCAGATGTTCAAGCTTTCAGCCTCTCCTGAAATTCAGTTTCGAAAATGCACTTTCAGGCATCTAGACATCTTCGACATGGTTCGGATTGAAGACGAAAAGGAACTCGCGCGAAAGTTTGACATGGTGAGTGGCGGATTTGTGGTGATTTATAGCACAGAGTATTAGCGTCATAATATGGAGCTCATCTATGAGACTTTCCACGTGATGTATAACTCTACCCTATTGATATTTTACAGGCCCATATAGACACTAAGAGCTGTACAGCCATGGTTGAAGCTATCAAAAAGAAACTCTCCATAACGCCGGCCTACCCGCACTTCTTGTCACTCCTTCATCATGCACTGCTCATACCTTGTAAGTTGCACTGTAGCCCTGTCTCGTTTTCTTGGTCTTGTAATCCTGGCCACTGCATTACTGCTTTATATTTGTCACTTTTGTTGTACTGATGTATATCGAAATGCAATACCAACATGCGGGATGCATTTATTTGTTTGTCTTGACCGCGTGGTCTACCTTGACAAAAGTGAATCTGTCATATGTCGAAGGTTTATCGAGCACGTTTTGACTCAAAACAAGCCACAATTCTCATAGATAAATACAATTTGCTAATTAGTTTTGAAGCTGTCTCAAAAGATGAGTGCGTTTTGTAATATCGATTTCCTTTACAGAGTAACATTATCGAGTTCGCATATATTTGGTGAGGTTAAAATATGCGGAATAATGCACAGCTACTCTCTTTACCTTTGTGGGATTATAGATGTGTATATTTTTTGGGAAATTTTGTAGCGATATAATCAATGACAACTATATTACTCCGCAACACGATTTGTCCCATACAGAACCAATTAAAACTATACCCGCCGTACATGTGTTTCTTGAATATAGACGGCAACGCATGCGCATATTGTGACATTTGGGCCTCAGCTTTCATTTTATTTCTCTGTTTAATTGTAGTCCCATGTGTTAACACCACCATGAAGTTATAGTTTTTACACGATTAGTGTAATGAAGGAGTCAGGTTGAACTTAAAGAATGGTACCGTGTTATTAAAAAAAAAAATCCGTACCATTTGAGCGGAAAAAGTTTTCAGTAATTTTGACCCGCATTTCTTTTTTTTTTCTTTAGGAAGCAAGAGGGTTAACATAATTAACACTGGTGAATACGCATGTCCGTTTGTGGTGCAGTAGTCTTGACCCGGTTTAGTTTGATCTTACCTGCTTTCACGTTTATTGTAACCGAGATTTTCATGCATTCCTTTCACTCCAACGGAAGATGTTCGTATGCAGATCTCGCATGCTTGTCGATTTTCTGTTGCACTGATAAATGCAAAAAAAAACAATAGCTTTTGCTGCAATGTGGCCGCTGCATCTAGGAACACTGTCTTGCTACAGAAGCGATGCAAAAGCTTGCGTGTTGGCCTTTTGCAATATAATGCACCAGATTCGTAATTGTCGTTTTGTTCTCCTGTATCAGATGTCGGAGGTTCTGCAGAGCATTGGATTCTGTTCGATCGGATCGTTCAGCAGATCGTCGTTCAAGGCGAAAACGGAGAGAACTATGATATCACCCCGATTGAGATCAACGTCAAGAAAATACTCAAGGAGTAAGTACGAGGGTCGTTATGGTGCAACGATGAGTTTGATTGCACTTTATAGAAAACCATTCTTTATATTATATATTACAAATTTAGGTGTCATGCAGACAAGGATACTTCATGCGATGGTGTACCTGTATTTTTATGGTGTTAACTTGACCTCTCAAACATAATTCAATACTTCAGTACTCTTTGCATAATAGATTCAGTTTGTGATACTGCCTGTAAAACTAGTGAATATTTATTTCAATATTTTACAAAGATAGCTAGTACAATTAGACCCAAGCACATGGGACATCGTAATATAACAGATAAAAAAGACTAGGGATAACAGTATATGCGAATAAACACACAAATAGTGATAGTCAGCTGCTGATGTAAAAAATTGCAGTATGGAGCAGGTGATCAATATTTTCAAAGTTGAAACCCTCAGTCTTAGAATACAAAGAGAGAAAGGAGAGCAGTACAAGTTGCCATAAATAGAGCTAACACAAATTTGAATCGAACACATGGCACGAACATGATCAACGTGATTACAATGGAACTTTACTGAGATGGCTGGGAAGCATATAGGACTTAGGAACACCCGCTGGCAAAAATCACAAATCAGTTAAAAAAAAAAACGTTAAATTTAATACCAAATAGTTTTAGCTATAATGGATGCCCAACTGTATTTATGTTGTTCGTTACGCTTAGTAGTCGTCGATGCAAGTCAACGTCAAGAAGCGTACGCTTGATAGCCGTGTATTTCATGAAATGAATGGGAATGCTCTCTTAGGCTGGCCACTGAGGAGGAATTGAGAATCGCGAAGGAGAACGCCGATAAGTTCGAGAAGGAGAACATTGAACTGGCCACACAAATCGTCAAAAAAGAACAAGAACTGGAGCAGAGTATACAAGAAAAGGTGAGAAAACCAGCTTGTATTGTGCATTTTTGTAGGCCTACATATTTATTTCGATATAATGGGTGAGGCGTTACTGGGAGAATTAGTATGCATATAAAAATCAAAGCATATTTTAACAACTTCGTAATGTGGAACATGATAAATTAGTAATATTTTTTTTTATAGATTTGGCATTGCAACCCACCACGGTGATTTAGTGGCTAAGGCACTAGGCTGATGACCCACATGTCGCGGGATTTAATCCTGGCCGTGGCTGCCGCATATTTGATAGAGGCCCAAATGCTTGAGGCCCGTGCGCTTAAATTTAGGTGCAGGATAAAGAACCCCAGGTGGGCCGTCCACTACGGCATCTCTCATAACCATACAACAGTTTAGGGATGCTAATCCCGAGCGATTATTAGTTTCGTCATTAAAGATGGGTTAGCGCCAATGAACATGTTCCATTTGACTATCAAAATCTAGAAACTTGAGTATGTTTCTAGTCTAGGTAATCATGAGCGCGACAGAAATAAGTATAATAGTGATCAATAAGACAAGACAATACGACAAGCCTAAATTCATGGTAATGTACAGAAATAACTGTGCAGTGCTTGTACCATGAGTGGCTCTAGATATGACTGCCATGATTTATTTTGTGAAGAGGACCAAAGTCACGCAAGGAAGCAACAGGCTTCTGGCATGGAGATGGATTTCCCAGCGTAACACTGGTTGGGAATGAGTCGTTCATCCTTAGCACATTATAAGTAATCTTCAAGCAGTGTCAAACCTCCGTTGCTACTGAAGTAAAATTTGTGTAAAAATTGTAACAACTCACTCTCGTACTACATATGTTGTAGTGAATGTTCTTGAATTGTGAGCATAGCTGGAGCCAAATTTTGTGTCTTGACAATCGTTCTTGTTTTCCTCAAGGCTTGCATGACTGCCATTTTGAAAAAAAAGATCACTTTTCTAAAGGTTTACTCTAGTGATGATCTCCATTTAATATTATCTCTTCAAGCTCCATCTACTTCTGAACGTTCACATAGTTACAATATTCTGCAGTGCCAATCATAGGCACTGTATCACTGAAACGTGGCATTTTAAAGTTCAACAGCTTCTAGTCTCCTTTCATCATTTAAATTAGCTGGTCAGCTTGTAAGGTCTCGCGTAGCCGAGAAATACGGGCATGGTAAATTTTCTTCTCGCCTGGGTAGCTGTACACATGATCCATGCTATGTTCACTTGGTAGGTTGGTAGTGCCTATAACGAAATCTTTTCACCAAACAATCCACAATTACATCATCGTAATAATTAACAAGGGTTGACCCTTATATCACACGACCAACTTAGCCCTTATACGGCGACAGAGTTTAACCTTTTTACAGTAAACCACCTTAATTTTTGCCCAACAGGTCACTTAAGCATTGTACGGTAACTTGGTTGAGCAACTGCATGGCTGCTCAGCTCATTCATTGTAAGGCTGCTCAGTTTCTTGTTATGCAACTCGGTTCAGTCACTGTACGTCAGCTGAGCTTAGCCGTTGCCGTGCTACTCAGCTTAACCACGGTACTGGGACATTGTATAGCCACTGTATGGTTACCGAGCTGCTAGAAAGTATTTGAAGTGAATAGTCACTGCAACGCATGACAACCTTACGCAAATGGCACGTGCAGGAAGACCTCCAGAGTGCGTTGGCAAAAGCAAAAGATAAACTGGAACGAGAGACAGTGAGCCACCTGGAGGACAAGCAGAAAATTGAAGAACTGGAGTACAGGATAAGGGAGATGACACAGAAAGTAAGTACTGCATCCATTGTCTTTTCGTACTGTACACTACACTAATCTCAAAAGTGGATCGTACGTAGAGTTTATAGAGGTTCACCACGTTTTTTATTTAAGTGGCGCAGACGGCAGGAAACCAGACAGAGAAGACACAGACACAGCGTCATTATGCCTTTGAACAACCTTCCTTAAGGGTTCACTTGGGATGCGTTACGTTCCTTAAGGGTTCACTTGGGATGCGTTGGGATGCCTTTGAACAACCTTCCTTAAGGGTTCACTTGGGATGCATTACTTACCGCCAAGATGATACTTTGTTCAATGGTGTCGTGCATGTCAAACCCATGCGTGCAGTCACATAATGACTGCATTGGCACTGACCTTGTTTTAGCCATGACTTTGTGTTTATTTCGCTTAATAAATGATCCGGCACAAATGCGACTGGCTCTTGTATTCTGTATTGTAAGCCTTTTAATGGCTTGACTTGTTGAGAGATAATAACTAGGCTTGTGCGAATAGCTATCTTGGCCGAATAATTTCGAATTGGATAGGAATAGCATATAAACCACATATTATAAAGAAAAATAGGCATATTTGTCATGATATAACGAACCTGCACGATGTATTTAAAAAGCTGAGACAAGGCCTGTGCAAATACATTTTGCATCAAATAAAGCAACAACATTGAATAGTAGCATAATTTGACTTTCGCTAGAATGCAAGCGTTAGCCTAAAGTATGTTACTTTTTAAAATGTGTTATACTTGGAGCATATAAGTAGGTATAGGAAGCTTTTAAGCTTAAAAAAATGAATTGATGTCAGAGCATTATCCTCATTTAACTTTGAAGGGGGGCTTTGCGGCAGTGCAGGTTATTTTTGTATACTGTGCTTTCACGGTTGAGCATTGCTTTGCTGCAGTGAAACTACTCTTACAGGGTGACACATTCGGGTTATTATGCACCTATTCGTTTGTTTCGAATGATTCAAAATTTTCAATATCGTAAGTTCAATTCAAAGCAAATTATAATACTGAATTATTTGTTTAAATATTCGAAGCATTCAAATAATCGCACAAGCCTACTAATAAGCCATTCGATGGATTTATATATGAACACTTTTCGTCCAGCTTCACCGATGCAAATTCTTCATGTACGAGTACCAAGACATGGTGGCTACGATAACATCTGCGCATATCAATGTGACATGCTCCGAGTTGCGGCTACAATCAATTCGGTGAACATTTATGTGACATGCTCCGAATTTAATTATTCGCGGTGAATTTTTTCGCCATATTGTCACTTATTGATTTGCGTGGTGTTGCTGTCTTGCTTTTGTTTACGTCGTTTTTCTGGATGTTTTTGTACCCGAATATGGTGACGCCAGCATTGTGAATTGAAAACTCCTTAAATAGTTTCCTGCCGCATTTCCTCCTTTTTTCTTTTTCAAATCTCGAAATCATTTTAGTATCGGAGAAGGGTCGCTGTAGTGGCCCGGGGGTTATGGTGCTCGGCTGCTCACCTGAAGGCGTAGATTAGATCTTGACAGGGTGGTCGGATTTTGTTTGAGGCTAAGCGACTTAAACCCTCGTACTGTGCGACGTCAGCATGCTGTAAACAACTCTAGGTGGTCAAAATTATGTGAAGCCCTCCAATGCATTGTCTCCTGTAGCCAAAGTCACATTGGGATGTTAAGCTGCGTGAACCAACTAACCCATCTGTTATAAGACAAGCCCTACTTGAGGATGAAGCCAATGCTCCTTTAGGTTGTGTACATGCCAGCTGAAATGGGCGTGAACGACATGCCAACAGGCTAAATGAGGTGTTGAATGGAGGCTCATTGTGAAGCTAATGGATATTGCATGAAAAAGTGAAGAGCTATAATTTGTTTCGCATTGAAGCCTCCTTTTGCAATTGTGGGAGTTCCAGTACAATTGAAAAAAAATCTGCATCGCTTTCTTGAAAGCATTTATTGTATTATTGATATGCTACTTTTACAGCTGGACTCCGAGCGGCGGGAGAGGAGCTACGCCGAGCACTCGATCAGGAATGGCCTACCCGAGGACTCTCGCCTCTCCATTCATCGTGGTAGCCTGCCCCTGCATTCAACAGGCTCGATGAGCGCGCCACCGCCACCTCCACCACCGATGCCGTTGATGGGGGGACCACCACTTCCACCGCCACTTCCTGGTGAGGTAGTCGATACTATGGCAAGGCGAATAGAGTAATGTTGCTCTAGGGCGAATAATACTCATTCTTTGGGTGCTTTAGATACCTCGCCAGCATCGTTCACAGCCTTCGCTGACAAGTTAAACTACAGCATAGAGCCCGGGCTGGACGCAGGCCTCCTCGTTAAGACACAATAAGTTTATTCACCGTAATACCGTGTTGTGCACAAACCACACAAACTCAGTGAAGTGGACAAGCAAGTGTCTAAGGAAAGAAAAATTTATTGGGCGAGTGATTTTGTGTCCTTTACGGACCCTGGGCCATCACATGGCCATCGCATTGCGTGTATGTGTCCTGACTCCGCAGGGCTAGGGCACCTGCATTCCAGTTCACACAGCGAAGCTGTGCATCCAGATCCTGTGACGCAAGGAGGGCATCCCATTGCTTACTTCTGAAAAATACACAAAGCCAAAGCAAAAGCCATCCACGTTGCGCACACACAAAATGTTTCAAGGAAGTTACGAAATCAGATAAATATATAGCGAAAGTGCAAATTGAAATCAAGGACGCCGATGCTCTGTCAGTGATTAAAGTACGCGGTGCATTCTGCACCTATATGAACACTTACAACAAAGAAAGCATAAGTTGCTTCTATGCGTCTGTGTCTTTTTGTGCGCGCTATCACACTCTCATGAATTGTCGCCTACGCGTCCAACGTTCATTTGTACTGTGGTTGAATGAGACGTAAAGCGACAGTCACTAAGAATGAAAGATGAACAATTCCTGTGTGGCATGTTAAGTTACGATACAAGTTAATATGCAGATCTCTATGTCGTCGTTTGGAAGGCTGCAACAACAAGGAAAACACCAAGGCCTAGAACTCACACCTTTGGGATTCTTGCTGTTTAGGAAATGATGCAAATTTTTTTTTTTGCATTAGAGAACATTTTACATGTTGTAAGCTTAAGTGTATTAGAAAAAAAAAAGTTACATCACTAACAGTGCAATAATCAAAATATGTTTTGTAATCTGCAAAGATTCATCAAAGAATGCAAAATGCTGTAACTGTTTCTCGCATAACAGTCTAAGCAACTCCTTGAAATCAAGTGATTCAAGGTAGATTCATTTATATATATTTGGTAATAGCTTATGATAATAGGCCTCACGATAAATTGTTCTTCCAATTAGGCATGGGCATGGCACCGCCACCCCCACCATGTCCTCCCCCTTCGACAAGGACACCAAGGATCAAGAACATTCCTCAGCCAACAAACCCGCTCAAGTCTTTCAACTGGTGCAAATTGCCCGAGGTAAGTCCAACAGACCTAAAATGATACTGCTCTTTGGGAATACCCGACTTCGTAGGCCTGAGGCTGCAACTGTTCGGCAGCTTAGTACAATGTTTATGGCTTGGTTCTCTGCCATGGCACTGTCATTTTATACACTACTCGAATAGGTTTGGGTATCGCTGTGTTGGGCTGTTAACATTGCCATTTTATATCTTCAAGAAGTAATTGAACGGGGTCATGATAGACCCTCAACGCGATAACGATTGGGTTGCTGCATTTGAAATTTTGCTGCCTTATCAATCCTGGTTACAACATACCAAAATAAGAAAACATTCGTTCAGCTGTCGTAAGTTGTGGCACAAATGTTTTATACGCAAAGTCATCCATATACCGTAGACTCTTTCAACAGGGAGGGGGAGCACCTACCTCATTTGTAGACTGTGGCATGGGAATACAAAGACTGACGTACACAGGCGTTGCTTCCTTGGCATTGCATTTTTGGGCAGGTCATGCTTGTTTGTAGCAGCCCAGCTAATACCACGGTAGGTGTAGAATGTTTTAGAAGTTGTTGTTGAACAACCGCAACATCGGCTGGAAAGAAAATAGATGGATAGATAGAAAATTCCTAGGAGACTGCTTCTGCTTTCTAGTCATATTTGGCGAACGCATAAGGAAACCTGGGTTTTTACTTTTTATTCATTCTTTTGTCTAAATGATCACCTTATGTGACAGGGGGGGGGGTCGGCATGCAAGTGATTAATTGATTGATTGATTGACTTGAATGACTGCAATACATTTATTCAAGTTCTGTAGGACACGCCTTAGCGTGCAGTGGGTAACTTTCACCTAGCTCCTTGGCTATAGTGGTCGGCATAAGAATGGCTATGCATGTAAGAGGAAAACAGTACCATGAGGAGGGTACGTGGGAACCTCGCAGTGTATTGTCATTACTGAGTAATGACGTATGTATCGTAGATTTTTGTACCACCTCGTTCTCCTGCTGTGAGTTACTCAAGGAGCCACGCAGTCAGACACTAATGGTGCAGTCAGACACTAATGTCGCATTAAATAATGAAAGCAGTTATTTAAAGCGTACTTTTCAATATTAGAATGAGGGCTGTCCTTTAACAATGCATAGTTTTGCACGTATGTAGAGCATCTGCGTGTCAAGATAAGAGAGCTGACAAAACAGTACAAAGTACTCTACTATGGAAGTCAGAGCGAATATCAGTTATCGCGACATTTGTTTCCTCTGTGTAGTTCACAAAAGACTTTGTTGAATGAGTAGAGGCAAGCGCTAGATACAAGCCCTCCACTATGGCATTCCTCATAGTAATTTTGGGAATTTTAAATGTTAAACCGCAGATATTGTCATTGTTATATCATTATTATAATAATATTATTAATATTACAACTAATATTACCAGCCACCATTATCAACAACAAGCTGCAGTTAAGTGGAAACAGCTACGACTGAGTACCGGTACAGAGCAAATTTGGCACCCTCCTTAGATGATTAGGGGCAGAGCGCCCCCCTTCCTCCTGTTTGCATGCCTAGAACCTACAGTACCAGGCTGGCTAAAGTACTGAACTTTGGAATTCCGCAGGTACAAGGGTCATGATTACTCCTAGCGATTTGTTGTATTCATGAAGTGTTTCGCAAGAACGCTTTTTGTTGTAATTGTACGCTCGCACATTGCTCTCTTGTAACCATATGCGAGCGGTGCACTCTGTGGCGATGTAGCAGCGTGAAAATCCGCTAGAAGTTACGTCAAGCTGCGAGAGTTTACACCTTCAACATGTGATGAAATTTTTCAGGCCAGGGTTGACGGCACCGTATGGACTGAGCTAGACGACACGAAGCTGTACAAGGACATCGACCTCGCTGACATCGACAGGACTTTCTCAGCATACCAGAAGCAACAGGGGTGCGGGGTACGTAACCACGGCTACTCAAGTAGTGCGACACCGTTTGTTTTATATGTGGCATCTTAGAGTAGATTGCAACGAAGAATGCAAGTCAAATAAGAATATAACCCTTGTAAGCTAGAATGGTTGCAGAGAAAACCCCAGGGACGGCACCCTGTGAAATTGAGCACAAAATTTGTATACGCATTTCACTACACGTAAAAAACCAAAAAAACCTAGCAGACAGAGGGAAATGAAAGCTTGTGATGGGAAAACCCGGAAACGGGGTTTGTGTGTCCCAGCCAACGTTTTGACAAGTGGAGTTGTCTTCTAGTTTTGGCCTTGAAGACGACACGTCCTGACAGGTGGAGTTGTCTTCTAGTTTTAGCCTTGAAGACAACAAGTCCGCTTGCTGAAACGTTGGCTCAAGAATACCACCTTTGTTCAGGAATTTTTTTTTTTGGCACGACGCGTCATGTGCATACAGCATTCCCCGTAGATTCGACCAGTTTTATAATGAAAATTAGCATATATATGTACATATGCATATTATGCACATATGCAATCAGCAGATATGCTCTCCTTGGGGGCTCCTGGAGGGTCCCAATTAGCAATGCACTGCCCTAGCTACAGGAGCTGCTCTCATACACTATTTCAGACTTGAGATTATGGGCATAAATAGGGATCAGCTGGGGAGAGAGAAGGTAGAGGCAGTAGCTGTGCGATGCTTCAAGGATGGTGGCTGAATTAGCTTACTGTCAATCAGTTACACGGAATGAACTTGTGGTTATTTTCACGTGAACCTAAGTACTCATCTCCTTTGTTGTTGTCACTTTCCTATCTAAAATCAGTTGCCACGCTTGTTGAATGTTGTCCTGTGTTTTTTACTGTCTTATTTTGTTGCGGTTTTATGGTCACATGTGTTTTATTTATAAATAAACTCGAAATTGTTTCTATAAACGAACAACTGACAGAACCACTTCATGTTTTCACTTTCTATGTCTCATGGAATTTTTGCAGTTACCTTTCTTAATCAAGCTCAACAAAAGATCATATGGAAGTTCTTACAGAAGGGGTTAGTATCAGCATGTGCCAACTGATCAAGGTGTTGGGCCCTATAGCGAATGAAGCCACCCAGTGGTAATGAAGCAACCTAATATGAACAGTGCTAGTGAATTCACAGACAAAACACAAGAAGACAATGAACACCAGTGTCTCTCATAATCATATGGTGGTTTTGGGACGTTAAACCCCACATATCAATCAAATCCACAATGAACACCAGTGCTGACTGGTGTTCATGGCCATACCGTTTGCTCTTATGAATTCGAAACACGAAAAACATGTACAAACTGTACAAAACATGTACAAACTTACGTGTTGTGATTTGAATATGTCTGCTCGTGAGGTGGCAATGAATGGCGGGCTGCTGATAATTTGAGGATTGGGGGCTGCTGCACTCCTTCATGCCCTCTCTGGCATCGCCCCTGATATAAGCATGGAACAAAAAATACGTTGTGTTTTTCTCCAGAAAGTCACGTTGTGTTTTCTTTCTTCAGACCAACGGTTCGCTGGAGGACATCCCTGCGTTGACGTGCCGAAGCCCTAGGGTCCGGGAGCTCTCGCTCATCGATGGCCGCCGGGCCCAGAACTGCACCATCCTGCTCTCCAAGCTGAGACTCACAAATGACGAGATCTGTCGGGCCATCCTCTCCATGGACTCCAAAGACCAGTTGCCGAAGGACATGGTGGAACAGGTCTGTGCAAGGACACCTTGCCCCTTTCAAGGTTGAAAATGCCCTGTAGCTTTAATGCCACAGTCTGGAATGGTAAAAACACACCCAAAATGTAAATAGTAAGCACAGGTATTAAATTGAGGATGAAGTGAATACCGTCTACATCATACCTATTTCCCCCATTTCACATCAAACTCAACATCTCAGACGGGACTTCTGGCTCTTATGCTTTACTTCTGGTATTCTTGTTCTGGTTAGGTCATTTGTAGAGCCACGTACAATCTTCGTGTCTTACGTTAAAGTTCGTTCACTATGTTCTCTACTGGCAGTATATGCCACATCTGTTCAGAGCGCACATGAAGAAACCTCAAGTAGGAACAGTTACGATTTGTGATGTATTATCATCGACATTGTGAACTTCATTATATCCTGCTACAGAATATAGATGGAAAATACCTGCAAAGTCTTTATCTCACAGTAGAGCTCATTATTGTTTATTGGGTAGATGTAATGCTTTACACGGTACTTATATGGCTTGGTGCTTTAGGTAGTGTGCTTATGGCTTTGTCTTTATCTTTTGCTGCTACAAAAAACTGGCAGGCCTTCTGCAGGACAAGTGCAATGGCTAAGTCTAAAAGGCTAATGCGCTAAACCATAGTAATTATCGCAGCAGAATTTCTTTGTACCACGTCTTGTTTTCGCAGTGGTAATGTCATTTACATGCAAGCAATTTCAGAATGAACATTTCAGAAACCATACATATACACTCAAAATGAACAGCGCCAGTACAATATGCCGTTCCATACGTTCAAGAAAGCTTGACATCAGCTGTAGGTTCACGAAGTAGCACAATCATTTGACGTTACAGATTTGTGCTATAAAGATTAGTATAGTGGCAAACGAACTGACGGGTACAATTTCGCTTTATCACAGCTACTCAAGTTCCTTCCAAGCCCTGAAGAGAAAGTTTTGTTGGAAGAACACAGCAGTGAGATGGAAAGCATGGCGAAGGCTGACAGATTTCTCTACGAAATCAGCAGGTAAGCACAGCGCACCGTACAAACTTGTTATTGTCAGTTGTGATACTTAAATATCAGTATTGTTAATACTTTCAGAGAATAAGACTACTGCTGCTGTGGTACAGGTGACTTTTGTGAAAGCTCTCAGCGCCGGCTATTGAGTATTGTAATGATACGAACAAAAGCTGATGTCTACGTAAAGTCCTATGACTGCAAAACTGTTTCAGAAATGAAAAAAAAAAAACAGCTATAACATACAGAACCAAGTGATTTCTGTTCTTACGGCTTCATTTTTCACGCAATTTTGCAGTCACGAAAAAATACTTACTAGGCTCAGCCCCGGGTTTCGCTTTATTTACCTTATCGCTGTCATCCATTTCATGATCGTGCCACTTTTATAATGATTTATTGAACCTAGTTCAAATTACTAGTCGAACCCTTTTATAATAGACACTGATGTAAGAGACAAATTGGTATAAGAGAACACAAGCCTGCCTGTAGTAAAATCCAGGTTGATAAAAAATGCATACTAGATGCCTTGCTTATGAGAGTCATCTCATATAAAAGGCAAGAATTGCTGCCTAGAGCATGCCTCTTCGTTCAACACTAGTAAGTACCAGGCTTCTAGCAAATGCTTCGCGAGGAACATGATGGTGTCTTCAGGCTGTCAAGCTGAAAATTATGATATGTTGCTTTGGTTTTTCAGAATAATTCATTACGAACAGCGGTTGAAGACACTGTACTACAAGAAAAAGTTCCAAGAAAGAGTTTCAGACTGCAAACCCAAGATCGTTGGTGAGTTGTCTCGCACTCTATAATTCGAAACTTGTGTTGTCGTTTGCACCAAAGTCTGTTTTGCAACGTAATGATCATCAGACATCAAGTCACTACAGAGGACAGAACGAAAGTTTTGTCCTCTGTATCAGTTGTGTGCCTTGAAGGTGGGATTTGCCAGAAACATCTCTGTATAAAGACTGTGCATTATTTATTTGTGTGTTTCAGACGTATATTAAACTATCTGAGCTAATTAAGTACGTAGAATTAAGATTGTCACAGTTATAGCATTAAGCCAGTTGCACTATAGCAGTTTCTGTGGGCGATAACGGATAACGGAAAACTGGTTGAGTATAACGAAGAGGTACATCTTCCATAAAAATAAAAGCGATGAGTTTAAAATAGCTTTGCCTGGTGTCCGATCGTACTTTACAGTTATACAAACATGATGTTATGAACTTGATTGGCATCACATGCTAAAATTAAGTAGTCTTCAAACTACAATTTAAGTGATTGTTGAGAAAAAAAAAAATGGCAACTCTGGCTTACTTGAGGTCACTTGATGCCACATAACCGAGCATTCAGAGCCATTTATGATGGTCTAAGTTCCTTCTCTTGTTGAAAGTATAAAACAGTATGCAGGGTAATTGGGGTCACTATGCAGAATTAAAAATACTAGAAAATATTTCCACAACTTTTTATACGAAAAGATTAAAAGCAAGACCTTCTTTATGTAGCCGATCATCTCTATATTCATTCTTCATTATCTCAAAGGATATATTTGAGAAATCATACATACAAGCATACATTTACATAAACACCCGTATATGCAAGTTGACGTGTTCACGAAACATTGACTCTGCTACAAATGTGAAATTCCAATGCTTTGGTCCGCATTCTTCTAATACAGCATGGAAATATAGAGGTTGTCATGCCAACGGCAAGTTAGGGCATTTACTTGAAGGTTATCTTCCCAGACAAAGGAAGGACACATTTTTTCTAAAAAATTATGGAATCTTGTTTTTTTCGTCGTCTTTGCAACCACCGTTTGCGCCCTGCTGTGCAGGGTAGCAAAACGGTTGCTATGACCAGGTTAACCTTACTGCATTTAACGTTCTTCTATGTCTCTCTCTTGGCATATGGGGCAAGCTTCTGTAGTTGGCTGTTTGTACAGTAGGTATTTACGAATCGATGACGTATGCAATAGGGTGAAGTTTCCATGTGTGCAGTCGAACTTTTTTTATAGCGATGACAGCAAGCAACCTGTTCATAACCATATTATTGTTTTATGTCAGTATGTTATGTTGCAATGTCAGATTTGGTTAACTGGCATGGAGGAAGGAATACTGAGGGGAAGCCGTTACGCCACATTTTACAAAGCCGAAAGTGGAGCAGATTATAGAGCTTTTTTTTTTAAAGGTAAGCCACGCCTCAGAGTGTTCGCGCATGTGCCAATGCCGTCAGCACGAGGAAGGCGAGCGACGAAACTTTTTGAAATGGAGTAGAGGAGGTTATATAGACCTCAACCTCTACAGAGCAAGCCTATTAGGAAATGACACTATATTCTCACCCGAATCATACACTGCTAGCAGTTCCCGTCAACACTTGGGTCATGCACTATTTCAGCTGTCCTGGAAGCGTCGAAGGAGGTACAACGAAGCAAACGGCTCAAGAAACTGTTGGAGGTCGTACTGGCATTTGGCAACTACATGAATCGCGGTCAGCGGGGGAACGCAGTGGGCTTTAAGCTGTCCAGTCTCAACCACCTTGCCGACACCAAGTCCAGCACGAACAGGAACTACACCCTGCTTCACTACTTGATTGAGACCCTCGAAAAGAAGGCAAGTAACAAAGTCTTCAATGACAGCACTTAGTGTTACATTAGAGAAAAAAAATCATTACTCTGTGTTAACTTATCTAGTTTTTCTTGCTTTGACATAGAGGTATAGTCAAAAAGTGTTTGTGTGTGTGTGTGTGTGTGTGTGTATATATATATATATATATATATATATATATATATATATATATATATATATATATATATATATATATATATCAAGTTCTGTGCGTGAAAATGCTTTAGAAGTTCATTAAACTGCCGAAACAACTAAATACCATAATGAGATCAATTTTCAAGTGTTAGTTCCGATAGCTCTGTGGAAGGTTGACATGAAAATATCTACCTGAGCAAAACAACTTTTGGTGAATAATCTGTTTACTGTAAATCTTGTTGCTCTTGGAGTCTGGTTTAAGTTGACATTATGTCCCGTACTTCTAGTGAATGAGGAGAAATTTCGGTGGAATACTTGATAACTACATTTATTGCAAAAAGTCTTAACATATACACTAAAAGAAACAGCACAGACGAGTACAAGAGTTAGTTATAATGACACTATTGATCTAGTTGTCACAATGATAGAGGAATTGTCCCAAATCACTCATGCTGAAGTATGATTCTGATATTACATTTTTGAACTTGCAGTTCAAAGATACGCTGAAACTGGAGGAAGATATTCCGCATGTCAAGAGAGCGGCGAAAGTGAAGTAAGTAGTAGATTATCTTTCTTGTTTTAAAAATAAAGTGTTTGTGAGAAAAGGTTTGAAATTTGTCTTCTTCATGAAGTTCTGCTAACACAAGATTTAGCTTTGGGGCGAGTGTTAGAACATTACATCAGGATATTTGGAGAATACTAACATTATATTAGAGGTGCCATGGGAGCTTGGTTCGAGAAAAATTATACTAATTGGCAACATAACAAGAAAGGCCATGTGCATGAAACAAGTTTCCTGCATTTTTAGGAATATTTTATTTGTAAGGGTACTGCAAATCGGATGGATCTTTATCTTTGAAAATGGTTGTCGATGCACAAATGATGGCACAATCAATAGGGTTGGAGGGAAATGTTGACTTTACGGTAATGTGTGTTGCTTTTATGAACGTAACAAGAAAACATACACAAAAACGTAACCCATTGGGGAACATTTTTTGAGTCAAAATCCAACCTGAAATAAAATCGTCATGCATAAGAAGCTTCCGTCATACCGACTGTTAAGGTCTGATATGTGTTAGAATGTCGCCTAACAATTTATATTAAATTTTTCGCTTTGATAGCTACGTGCACTAGCAACAGGCGCTTTTGTGCCACAAACACGCGCATTAATTTAAAAGGTGCAGATGGTCTATATAGCTTATTATCCATACGAAATCAAACTTCATATTTCTTACGTGAAATTTGAGCATTGCTATCTGCAATCTACAAATGGCTGTTGCAGAATCATACACGTCATGTAAAGTTTATACGCGTTAAGCACATCTGGATTGACATCTGGAATACCACTGTCTAGATTTGGATTGCCTATGTTAGGCTGAGAATAATAAGCTTTTTATAGGTGCATCTCTGGAGAGCTTATTTCGGCAATTTATTTTGTGTGATAACCTGGCAAACTTAAGAAAAGAATAAGCTCATGATTTAGACATAACCTAATATGTAACAATGAAGCCTAATAGATCAAAGGGTTGAGATGGTTGAGAGGTAATTATGTTAAAGAGACAGGGTGTGCAGGCAATGACACAAGAAAGAAACGAAGGCATTTGTAGTGTCTTCATCTTTCTTGTTTCTTTTGCACATCCCGTCTCTTTGTCAAGAGATGGGGTGTGCAAGTAGCTACTGCTGCTTCTTAATAACGTTTAACACTACACTGCTTTTTGCGTGTGGACATTCTTCAGCATGTCTATAATGCAAAAAAATTTCATGCTAGTGCACTTCCAACCACAGCACCAACTCTAACGTTGACTCCTTCACTCACACAGCCTGGGTGAGCTTGAGAGGGAGATCAAAGATCTCAAGACTGGCCTCAACGAAGTTCAGAAGGAACTCGACTTTCTGCGAGGACAACCGGCCCAGCCAGGAGACAAGTTTGTGCTCGTCATGAAGGAGTTCATCACCGGCGCCACGTACAAGTTTTCGGAACTGGAGGACAGTTTCCTCGACATGAAGTCCAGGGTGGGTGCACTGTTCAGTGTTTAAGACAAGAGTTCAGGGAGACATGCAGGCTCGAAGGGATGAGGAATTAGTTAAGAGGGGCTGCCTCTGAACCAATTGTTCTCACAAGGGATCTTAACTAGCGTTGTATCCACCGACATTCCATGGTGGATGATTTATTATCATTGTTTCTGGTGTGGTGGTTTGTACTCGGAGACAACCCGCGAATTCATCGCGAAGACCATTTACAAAGTAGGAGACAAGCTGTTATTGATCTCTCTTATGAAGATCATACAATATTTTCTCAGTAGTTTTGTGCAGCACAGCGGAAGCTACAGGACACCCTCAATGCTTATTTATTATGTCTATTCACAAATACCGCAGTAGCACATCTTTTCTAACAGCCACTGCACTTCAAATTAGTTTCTCAATATCACACAATGTCGAAGATAGGTTATGAAGCGAAAAACTAGCATTTAGATTGTAACGACTGCTCCTGGGAAATATATGAGAGTTTATCACATAGGGCAGAATCATAGGGGTCGAAAACGTTTACTTTGTCCAAAGTTCATACCTGTGACCAATGCATAGAAGCCAATTTTTTCTTAAAGATGCAGTATTACAAAGGGGTCGTGAAATGAAAATAAAACTTCCTGGTTGCTTTAATAAGGATTACCCATAACTATTCTGAAATAAGTCTGCACAATATCCAGTCTGTAATTATTGGCGTCCATTTGAAGTCGGCTTTTTTGGGCTCACTAGTGACCATGCGGGACTACTGGCCGCTCTAGGCGTAAACATCTGATGTTAATAAGAAGCCCAAGTAAGAGAAGTTACAGACAGAGTGTCAGATTTATTTTTCTCTATAATAGTAGGTTTATAGGAACCCAGAAAAGAAAACAAATGACAGGAATCGTATGTTGTGCAATTACAGTGGGTGATCTGCTTGGTTCTGCTTTCAAGTACACCCGAGCTCTGTCATGTGTGCATCCTTGCTTTTTCACCGGTGGCCTTGGCTCGATCGGTGGAGCCTGTGCAGCACCCCAATTTTTTCTTACTTTTTGCATCAAGTTGTGTTCTACTGCATGTTATGGGTGGCTTAGTCCTCACTATGCGAACCATGTGCCTCATCAGACAGCATCGCACAACTTGTAAAAGTACAAACAACTTCCATTTTAACAAGCTTCCCAGTGCCCCGCCGCGGTGGTCTAGTGGCTAAGGTACTCGGCTGCTGACCCGCAGGTCGCGGGTTCGAATCCCGGTTGTGGCGGCTGCATTTCTGATGGAGGCGGAAATGCTGTAGGCCCGTGTGCTCAGATTTGGGTGCACGTTAAAGAACCCCAGGTGGTCGAAATTTCCGGAGCCCTCCACTACGGCGTCTCTCATAATCATATGGTGGTTTTGGGACGTTAAACCCCACAAAGAAGAAGAACAAGCTTTCCACTGAGGCACAGCGCAGAGAAATGTGGCTTCTAGCTATTAACCGCGATGGACCCGATCGGCAACAAAGTGTGGTGGCTCACGGTCCGGGCTTCTCCAAGCGGAGGTTCTGCCACGCGGTCTTGATATGAGTGCTACCAGGGCGCAGGTTTCTTCACTGTGGGAGCCCCCACCACTGTCTTGCGCTGACAATGGCTCATCTCGCACTCGCATGATGGCTTCGGCGTGGAGTCAAAGCTCGAGAGCGGTGTCCGCTCTAGCAGGAGACGCTGCAGTTCGGGAAGGTCAGCCATATTCTAAGCTGTGTGGCCGTGAAGTTATGGGATTGTTATGGTGGTGACAATGCCACAATCGAAACAGTGTGATGCTATGAACCATGGTCAACTAAGGTCCAAAACGTCACTGCCTTGCCATGTTTTTCCGATGACAGAGCCTTTTCATTGGCCGCATTAAAGTGACTTCAGCTGCACAGTTGATGGGGACATCAGCTGGGAAATGAAAATTGCCCATTTTAGGTATTCGGTGAGCACAGACGATAAAACAGGTTGTGGTATAGTAATGAATAGACTGCCAGGATTCTAAATGCACATATAGTTCATAATTTTGCAAAACATTTCACAACCCCTGTAAACACCAAGTATATTATAGATATGCATCTCACTTTTTAGAGTGCACAACGTCACCTGTAACGCGCAACCTCGTAGCTTCTTTTGTTGCATACTCATTTGCTTTGTTTACTTCTTTGTCTTCTGTAATGACAATATTTCTCAGTAGAATTATATAGCATTAGGTGTAACAAATATATGCTAATTCTTTTTTCAGTAGTAAGGCTCATAAGTGTGCATATAGCTTCATTTATATTTCTAAGCAAGCATACATGGATGTATGTAACATGCACGAAAATGGCAGAAATGGGAATGTGAATAAAAAATTCCATTGCATGTGTACGGACATAGACCTATGCAAGACGAAAAAATGTATTGTATCTTTTGTATGTATATGCATGCCTTATACTGGTCGTCAGACTAAGATGGCTTAGTTGACAGTCAAGACAGGCCAGAACCCTGTAAAAGTGCTCATGAGTAACTCTGTGTTCGTCGCTCTAGCATGCTCTTTATAGACTTTTTGCTGCAATAAGGAAAACTGAAAATGAAGTTGAAAGTTGTGCAGTTTTCTTACAGTGTGCATCTGTGCATGCCATACAATTTGTCACGGCTTGTACGAAATGAAATGCATTCTGTTCGGTGGAATGCATAGAGTCATGTCATACACTTACGAGAATTCGCTGTCTTTTCTTGCGCAGTACGAAAAGACTGCGCGGAGGTTCGGTGAGGACTCGGTGCAGATGCCTCCCGACGAGTTCTTTAGCATCTTCGACTCGTTCCTGGTCTCGTTCAACGAGGCCAAGAATGACAATGAGAACTTCAGGCGAAAGAAGGAGGACGAGGAGCGGCGCAGCAGGCAAGAGGCCGAGGTGAGGACAACTTAGGCGTCGATGATTACACATCATCATCGTCATTGTCGTTAACATTAGCTTATCGGTGAATTACTTATGTCCAAATTATGTCCAGTATACCCAGGCATAAGGAAGCTGCAGAGGTGATGACTTTGGCCTTGATGATTACGCGTTCTCATCATCATCAACATTAGCCAAAGTGCAGAGTCACCTCTGTTTGTCCTGTAAAATGCATGTAATATTCATACGTAATCGGCAAGGGTTGTGGGCTACCCATATTTGAGAACATCATCCTACGAAAGTAGAGTTTTGACAATTAGAGTGTCATTTATAAAAGCAGAAGAGCAACCTTAAACAAAACAGTGGTAATGTATTTATTGGATCCAAATATGACAAAGAAAACTGCCAAATATATTTTTTCTTAACTGTCTCATTAGACACCTACAAAGAGCCTATAAAAATGTTTGTAGACATGTAAAAATTTTCAAGTTTTTGCAAGGCAAGGCACCCGATGTTCTGCAGACAGAAGAACAATGTAATTCACTGATTTAAGTAGTTTACAGTAATTAATATCAAATAACTTGTGAATAAATATCTAATAAACTAGAGGTGATTCATTCTCTGTTTTTCTATAAATCAAGTCAAATTACAGGATAATAATATAGAGAAAACCGATATTCAGCTATGTTCATTTCAACCAGAAAAAAACATACTTTTCGCATGGCTCGAGAAACACCGACCATCACATGGCTTGTGTAACATATCAGTGCCATCAGCAAAATAAGCAGGTTCACCAATGAACTACAATGTGAAGCTAAGTAATGCCGTTTATTAAACGGTAAGCTCAACGAATCCTAGAATCAAAGTATTTTGCTCTGTTTTAGCCACTAGTCAACGCAAGTGGCCAAACAAATGCTGTACGAAATTCTCTGCAAAGCATCTCATAGGGTAGATTACATCATAGTCCCTCAATAGTTTTCTTATAGTTCCCTTGGTGCACACCACTTGAGCGGCAACGTCACATGAACGTGTCTGTTTAACTGTGCAATACCAGAAATTACCTCTTAGTTTTAAAACTGGTCACACTTCACACAACTGGTAAGCGTACCAGAATCTTGACAAAACACCAACATCTTAATTTATCAGAAAAGAGACATCAAGGACTTGAAAAATAATGGGCCGCTCAGCTTACTGTCCCTACAAACGGTTAGCACAAATAATAGCTCATAGATTTAAGGCAACGTTAGAGTTCCATCACACAAAGAACCAAAGCAGGATTCCATACAGGCTACTCTACTATAAACCATATTCATATCATTATTCAGGTGATAGAGAAATGCACGGGATACAACCGACCCCTATACATAGCCTTCACAGATTACGAGAGGGTGTTTGACTCATCGAGTCATCAGCAGTGATGCAGGCACTACAGTACCAGGGCATCGATGAACACTATATAAATGTACATGAAGAAATCTACAGTGGATCCTTAGCCACCATAGTTTTCTATAAAGAAAGTGACAGAATCCTTATAAAGGAGGGTGTAAAGCAGAAAGACATGATCTCTCCAATGCTGCACCGCATGTTTACAGGAGATTTTCAGGGCCATAGATTTGGAAGAGTTTTGGATAAGAGTTAATGAAGAGTGTCGTATCAATCTGCAATTCACTGATGACATTGCCTTGATGAGTAACTCAGGGGACGAATTACAGATCATGATTACTGCACTGGACACAGAAAGCAAAGGAGTAGGTCTGAAAAATAATATGCATAACACTAAAGAAAGTCTTGGCAGAAAACAGCGCTTTGCGATAGGTGTATAAATCCTGGTAGTTGTAAAGGAATATATCTACTTATGACGGGGAGTAACCGTGGAGCCAAACTATGAGAGTGAGATTACTAGTATAGTGAAAACGGGGTGGATCACATTTGCCAATTATTCTGAAATCACGAATGGCAATTGGCCATCAACCTTCAAGCGGAAGGTGTACAACAGCTGAATCTTGCCGGTACTTACCTATAGAGCAGAAACCTGTAGGCTTACAAAGAGGGTTCAGCTTAAATTGAGGACGATGCAGCGACCGATGGAAAGAGAAATGATAGGTATGATAGACAAAAAGACAGTGGAGTGGGTCAGGGAACAAGCCGGAGTCAAAGATATTGAAGTTGAAATCAAGAACAAAATGAACAAGGGCTGGGAACGTAGCACGTAGGCAGGATAACCGCTGGTCATTGAGGGTAGCCGACTGAATTTCCAGAGAAAGGAAGCGCATGATGGAGAAACAGAAAGTTAGGTGGACCGATGAGATTAAAAAGTTTGTAGGTATAACGTGGCCATAGAAAGCACAAGACCGGGTTGATTGGCGAATCATGGGAGAAGCCTTTGCCCCGCAGTGGGCGTGGTCAGGCTGATCACGATGAAAGATACAGGATACGCATGCAAACCTTTACTTCATGCCGGCTGCATCTGAAGTCTGGTAATTTGGTATGTCGAGTTCAAGATCCAAAAACCACCATATGATTATGAGAGACACCCTAATAGAGGGCTACGGAAATTTCCACCAGCTGGTGTTCCTTAGCGTTTACCCAAATCTAAGCACACAGGCCTACAGTATTTTCGCCTGTATCAAAAATGTAGCCGCCGCTGCATCTGAGGTATATTTTGAGTCAATGCAGAGAAGGGTGGCCTCTAAGCTATCGTAGTGCCGCAGTGAGGCAGCTTTGTGGGCTCCCCTATAACGTGACGGTGAAGTTTCATGACCGTACAAAGTATTGAGGGACAATGATGAAGTCTTATTGCAGCAATAATCTTCAGCTCAATTTCTCTGTTTTGTCCTTGCAGAAGCGAGAACGCAAGGATGGAACTCTGCGGGGCCTGGCCGCACTCCGAGCCAATGGTTCGGCAACGCTCAACGGCTCCATCAACAGCCTCAAGGCCGGCGGACCGGCCGCACTGAACGGCACGACGATGGCGGACAAGGGAGAGTTCGACGACCTCATATCGGCACTGCGCACGGGAGACGTGTTTGGCGACGAGTTCTCTAAAACGCGTCGCAACCGACGCCGTGGCAGCAGCCCGGCGGCCAACAATGCCACCTCGGCATTAGTCGAGAACGGACACCACGTTATCGTCAACGGGTCTGCCCTGCACGACGCCTCACGGGATCGCATTGTGGCGCGGAAGCTAAAGTCATGAGGCCTAGTCTAGCAGAGCTACGGTTTGCGCTGCTGGCTGTACATAGAAAACGGGAAATGCTATGAACCATAGGACAGTAGGCCAAGGACAGTGCTTAGTCATTCTCTGTCCAGCTGTTTTACTATCCTGAGGTTCCCCTGCTTCTCTTTTTCTGTGCACGTGAAGAACCGGCTCGCATATGAACTCCACTGCAGGCTGTACATAACTACTCATTGCAGCACGCTACTGTGATGCCGAAGAACGCAAAGGAAAGATGGCACACGTGCAGTGTCAGCGCATTAATTAGGTGAAAGTCATCTGTCAGCAGGTGCTTGAGGCGAGAGGGATTGTGTTTCAATTCAATTGATATGTAGACAAGACCTTCCATGCCTATTTATGATATAATGGTGCCGACAGATATCCCCAATACTGTTTCAAAAGAGAGTATTGAAAAACTCGTCTATTGCTTTATTTTACTTGACTCTGCCGCCTCAAGTAGCAGTTGACATATAAATGTTTTTCCACGGTGCCAGGTGTAAGCATAGTTATCAGAACAGCCATGCAGTTTTTCTCCGATTTTGTTACTCCAAAGACAGCTTTTACTATGAATACAAAGAAGCATGACACGTGTAAAAAAATAAGCCGGGAGAAAAATTCACCCAGCTTATCAACCAACATACGTTTATCTAATTGGCTCTTCATCTGAACAAAAGCAACTTCGTCATCGGTTAGTAAAATTGATGTTGCCATGATAATACAACTGCTGCGGGTACTAGTAGGCTTTACTTAATTTTCAAACACGTTGGGCATCCCTCTATAACTCCTATCGGCACCAAAGTGGAAAGTTGTAAAGCCTGGGACAATATCTCTTTCTTTGATATCTTTTGATTAGGGCTGGTAGCTGTGCTCTCACACGTATTTTCCGTCGTGTGCCATCTTGAGTGTTCTGTGCCGTAGTTGCAATCAGTAGCTAGTCTAGCAGCTTGCCTGCCCCATCTGTAATTGCGTTTTGTTCATATGGGATTTGATTTCTTCGAGCGCAGCCAGAAACAATGACATCACACTTTGTATCATAACTACAGAAATGTCTGTAAACACAACCAGCCCATAACTGCGTCGGGTGGCTAAGAGACTTTGTACACCAATTTTGTCCTCGTACGTTTTTTGTATTTTGTTCATGCAGAATTGTTCACTGCATTTGCCATTTCTTTAAGAACCGAAGGCTGTGGCTAAAGTGGAGGTTTTCATCATAAGTACTCCATTCCCTTATTGCCTTGTGGTTGCTGCATGGCTAAATTATTATACCTCGTCAATTCATGTATTGCCAGTGATCTTCAATTTGTTTCTATACACAGATTGTTCAGAAGTTTCAAAGAAATAGTAGTGAATTAGGGCTTAATCATTGTCATATCGTACATAAGCTAGTAACTAATTTTTTGGACACTTCGTTGACTTGCTCACATATGGTTGGATTGGCACTGAGCAGAAGTTTGCTCCAATCATAGCCAGGTACATTAGTCAACAATGATATGTACAGCATTGTAACTGAGGTAGGTGACCATTCGGTGCCATTTTTGTTTGTAGATTATGAACCACTGAGCCTAACAAAATGTGTTGAATAGAGGTGCTGCAGAGGTTTTTTACATTTGAAATTTGTTAGGACTGAGGTTATTTTTTTGTCACAGTTGTGGTCAGTCACTGCCTCCCAATATTCAATATTTTAATGCATTGGTCTAGGTGAACTAGCACTGATGCCATAAATAACACTTATTTTATTGCCAAACAGCAACTAAGTAGCAATTATGTTTCAAAGAACAAATACGTTCCAGTATTGTTCAGGAGTACGTAAGTTTAAACCTGAAGCGAGCTGGATGACGTAAATATTCAGGACATTCGTTACTGAGAGATTCCTTGTCTAGCTGAGCGTGTTGTCGGGTGTACAATGTCAAACAAATATGTCCAGAAGGACTGTCCTACCAAAATGTTATCTGTCAAAATAACGGCATCATACTTACCGGATAGTTATTATTTGGTCAAGCTAATTAATACCAAATTTTTCAGAAGCAAAGCCTTCAGTTATGCATGCAGAGATAAACACTCTGACTTTAAGCTGTCCCCAAAAGACTTTTGCTTAAGCTTTTAAATAATCGGTGGTGAAGTTCTTGTCATTTTAGCACAGCCAACACATTCTAGGTAAAAATGGATTGAAGTTACCATGGAATCTTAAAAGAGCTCGTACTTGTAGAAGCTGCACACTAATATTTGCCTACAAACTGCAGCGTACGAGACAGACAGGATAATACAGATGACTTAATCCATAATTACACTTGGCAGATGTGTTTAGCAAGCAGAGTTTAAGGAGCAGTTCTTTAGTACTCAGCCATTTTTCCACCGTGTAGTAGCTTGTATAATGCTTAAAATTTATTGACCTCGAAATTTGTTTGGGGCCTGTGCTAAACTGTGACAAAAATCACATGAGATTGTATAAAAAGATCAAGTTTCTGCTAATGTTTTCCCATCAGGCCCACGCACTTGTGAAGAAAGAAATACATTACACTTTTTTTGCGAATTTCAATATAGATAAGTGTATTAGCCTATAAGCAGTGAGACAAGAAAGCACGACACATTACAAAAAAAAAACATATCTGAGGGGAAAGTGTCTGTCTAGCTATTCTATACACTTTCTGAATCATGCATATAATTGTACGCCCAAGGGACCTTTGCTTCCCCCTTCTCCAATTCTCGAGAGATATGATCTACAGACTTCTGAAATTCGTTCGTTGACAATAGAAACTATTCATTTTCACCTAGAAAGTCTCTAATGCTTGGTATTTGTAGGGTGCCGACCTGAAGTAATAACTGAGCTTGGTCGGTAACTCTCGCCTATTAATACTTTATGTACTCGCATTCAAATTGAGAGATATAACAAAATTTAATGCATGAAAGTTAACGAGCCATTGTGCTTACTAATTCAAATGTGGTCTCCAATTGTGAAGTACGTTAATATTATTTTTTACTGTGTAAGAAATGGTCACAACAATTTCATACATAAAGTTAGCTCATGTTTATTAAGGTACTAAAGATAAGTTCACTGATATGTCGGTGCGATAAGAGTGTTTGTAATTCAGAAAGTAATCACCGAGGGTCGCCTTCTCTTATTTAAACTGTGTCCTCTCAGGTTGTTTGCAGTGTTTTGCAACTTTTCTACAAGCAGTGTCTGAAATGTTGTGGCACGTCAATTGGAAGGTCGTTTGTTTTAACACTACTGATGTACCGAACATTCCTTGAGCACGGTGATCGAAAATGTGATAACGATGCTAGATTGTAGATTACAAAGAAATAATTTGAAGCTAAATGCATTTCACTGTCCATACTCGTCAAATTTGGGACGTAATTTGATAGGATGTTAAAGCATTCCCTGGTTTCGGGATGTATTTGTCGTGGACGTAGTGATTTTTTTTGCTTAACACACAAACATCGCAGTGTAGAAAAAGGTGGCCTATATAACTGAATTTTTTAATAACTGCCTTGTCGATCCATTTGGATCATTAGCACAGCTTTCATAAATTTCTGTGCTTTCACTTTTCCTCATTACTGCTCTTAACAAGTAATTGCATTTAATAAACAAGTAAATCTCAACATTTTAATCCTTTCTTATCGTTATGCTCTTCGTTTTAACAAGTTCTAATGCGTGTTTGGGAAGTTCCCTTTGTCATTAACCATTACTTCTTAGCTCTAAGCATGGTCCACGTAACTACAAAACTGCTAATTATATTCAAGCCAGCATAACTTCTGCACAACTTTAATTTCCCTGAATGAAGCTCCATGCGAAGTTCTGTAGCAGAGGCATATTCACAGTTTTGAACTGCTTCTCAAAAGTTTGTTAAGTACTGCATAAGTGCGACATCAAATGATGCTAATAGGCTTGGCTTACATGCAGAAATACTACAACAATTTTCTTACATATGTCTTTTTGTGCTTGACTTCCCCAAAAAGCTTAGTACTGTTTGATTACCCATGTTTAGGCTCTAGCAGTCTCTTGGCGTGCTGCGTGTTCCGACAAGATATCGAAATCGAGGTAGTTTGGTCCACACACAAAAAGAGAACTGTGTTTTTTAATTGAGTTGCGGTTCATTTGCCATTGCTCTCTGTACATCACACATACTCGCGAAATGTATTTGTCAGTTACCGCTGTGGGCTACATATAAATATATACATAACATTTGTACATAGGATGGATAAGCCAACTGTAAATGAATATAGTGTGTGTTTGTTCTATACAGTGTAAATAGCTATTACACCTTCTGCAGACTGCATTGCAGAGCTCATGTCCAATAGAAATGTGCTATTGTGAATGCCCTAAATTTGTAGTCACGTATTTCTGAATTATGTTTCTTTCTGAACCTTCATTCATCAGTAACAGTCAATCATTGTAACGAAAATGCTTCTTAATGTAACATATTATGCATGTCCTGCGAACTTTTGCTAAATCTTCTGCGCTTTTTGAGGTTTCATTGAAGAACCTCGCGCAACTGTTTTGTACTAGCTCATCCGCGTGAGCTTTTTGTACTTTTATATTCCCTTGCTGTTGTGCTTGAATATCTGCTATATCTGCGTTTTATTTTTCATTTTTATGCCTTGTCACAGAAAGTTTAGTTCCGATGTCTAGTCGTCAGTTTGAAGTATATCAATGCAAGTATGGTTCATCATTTACATAAGCGAAGTTCGAGTTAGCGTGTAAGACGCTCTCACTGTTTTCCTAAGTCATAGTGGCTCTCTCCTTGCCCTTAACTGAAAAATATATCGCAGTGTTTTGCCTGCATCTGGCAACTCCGAACACACGCAGTGGATTGCAAAATAGGAGTGGGTTGCTAGCGACCCAAACGATTCTCGCCTTATAAGAAACGCTGGAACCCAGGCAATCCTGGAGAGATCACACATTGCGTTGCAAGATGCGAACGGGTTACTCGTAACTTACACGTAACCTTGAGTTGGCGAGCACGACAATAGTTGTTTGGCGTCTTAACCGTCGTATTGTCGCCGTGTTCGTCGTCGGGGAGCCCTGAATAGATGGTGGGTTGCTTGCGACGCAAGAACTGGGTTGCGAGATGCACTTGGGATGCTCGCGACTCACAACAGTGGGTTGCACGGGTTGTGCAATGTTGCTCGTGTCAACGTAAGCACCTAAATGAGTTTGCTCTATTTTTGTTTGTAACATGCCCCAGTGTTTAGCAAGCAGATGTGTTCCCCTGGCTGAGAGTATAGCGGTGCGTAAAAAAAATGTTGAATGTTGTGTGTGAGAATTCCGAGTGTTTTTCTTCCTTGTTTTTCTTTGTGTAAAATAAATATACTGAGAAATCTAAACAAAATGAACGCTTTTTTGTTTTCATTACTGGTGTCTTCACGCCACCTGATTAATACTTGCTTTAAAAGCATAGCATCATGAGCCTGGCTACGCCTACTGCAGGGCAAAAGCCTCTCCCAAGATCCACCAATCAACCCGGTACTGTGCTTTCTGCTGCGGCGTTATACCTGCGAGCCTTTTAATCTCATCGGCCGACCTAACTTTCTGTCTCCCCTTCGTGCACTTGCCTTCTCTGGGAATCCAGTCAGTTACCCTTAATGACCAGTGGTTATCCTGCCTACATGTTACGTTCCTGGACCGTGCCCATTTCTTCTTCTTCTTGATTTCAACTATGATATCCTTAAGCCCAGTTTGTTCCCTGACAAACTCTGCTTCCTTCTTGTCCCTCAACGCTCTGATGCATGAATTAAATCTAGAAGAGAAAATATATATTTTTGGCCTAAACCTATTGCTGGAGGCCACAAAGGTCATGACAAAATTTATTCAAAGTAACCAAATGCCTCTGTATCAGATTTCTGATGTGTCACCATATGAAGACAACCTCCTGTAAGCCGACATGAGTCTTTCGCATCAGTACACATGAAATATATGTAGAACACTGAAAGATATCGTTACATTTCAAACTGGAATGCTGAAGATCGGTCTTGCATGCTTCCCCTATGCGCAGTGGAAGGACTGGAAGCACTCGGGATATAGAGGCATGTTGCAGCGACCGTAGAGATACCTTGTCTTACTGCAGCAGTCAAGGCTTCGACAGTGGCTGGCGTACATCTGTTCGCTCTTCTTTGGGAAATGGCGCCCACTGTCTAACCTATTTTCCAGGGGGCATGTGGGGCTGAACTCCCTTTTTCATGGGTGCGGGTGACGAATCGTTGCATGGCCGGCCTCGTCGCTTCGAGATCTGAAATGCTTCACCGCGGAATATGAGCGCCTTGTCAATGCGACTTCGGAACTCGTGTTGGTCCATGTAATGGTCCACGCCTTTGTCCCACCTCCACAAAAGCCATGCGTTGACAACTGCTGCTTTTAGTAGATGGAAGCAGATTCATTCGTAGGTAGCGCCTCTTGTTTTGTACGTAATTTCTGTATTGTTTCTTGCACGGTCGACGAAAGGGCGAGTCTTACACACATCGAAAAGCAAAAAAAATCCTGCAAATGCAGACTCGAAAGAACACGTACAGCGCGGGAAAATGCACGGAGGAAGGAAAAGGGTAAGGAAAGGGCATGCCCAGCCGGCGCAGGGCGTAAAAAATGTGGCGGAAATGACATCATGGCGGCCATATTCAATAGGCACAGTGGCGGCGTTGTTATGGTTACGTGTTGCGCAGTGAAGCTGGTCTAGCAGTGAGCGGCCGCGGCTGGCGGCGGAATGTGTGCCTCCCCAGGTCTCGTGCTGAGCCGTGGCGGACAATATCTGTGCTCTGCGCCGCGTTATCGGTTACGCAGTGTTTGTCTGGCTGTTACATTACTCTTAGCAACGTTTACAAATCTCTTTGTCCATCACGGGGTTTCAACAGTGCGTAGAACAAGTGCATATCCATGTGTCGTGCGGCCGATGACGCGAATGCAGCAGTTAGTGTTCAGCGAAATGGCGTTGGGCACCATGACGAAGCTGAATGACGACGAACGCCTTGCAGGTCAGTGACGGTTGAGCACTGCTCCTGCTTGTGACAACGGACGACGCTGTTGAGCCCAGCAAGACGCCGTGAGGACCATGTGCACATACGTAGTTTCGTGTTGTGTGTGTACAGTAACAACTTGCATGTGCGTATTAAAACACCTTTTCTGTTCCGCTTGGTACACTCTCCACCAGCATTGCATGTAATCTCAACGTAACAGCAACCACGTTCAACTGTCACTAGCACCGTGCTCAAAGTCACCACGGTCGCAGAATGCTGACGCAGGTGAGTTTCACGCGGAACACGGACACAGTGGCAGGACGCTGCGTCAGTCGCGTGGCGAAATGCAACCGTAGAAGGCGCACGACTGATCGTGTTGTCTGTACAGTTGCTGAATTAAAGCACTGGCCGTTGTCAGTGCATCTAGCGCGCGTTCTTTCGTAGTTGCTTCGTTGTCAGCGAGCTGTTACTCTTTGTTGTTACTCGGACGAAGCGATTTCGCTGAAGGTGTCCCGCTGGCTCTGAGTGATGAGCCCAGTTCCATTAGTTTCGGATCGTCACGACACACGCGCTGCGCAGCCCACGTGCTTTCCGGACCGGAGAGGGAGTCGCGCCTTCTGCTTCGCATTCATATGTAAACAAGAGAGGAGAATTTGCCTACTCAATATGGCCGACTTCCGGCTTCATCGCGGCTTCACAACGAGTGACGTCAGGGCCTCTCCTTACCTTTTCCTTCCTCCGTGGGAAAATGCTAGCGCTTTCAGCTCAGGCCTGGCTTTCTGCGGGAGCCTTTTCATTTGGTGGCGCTGCAAATGAGTCTACATCTTTCATGCATAATGTGCCCACTTGAGGACACTTGTTCTATACCTTCTAAAGAGCGCGTAGCCGAGAAAAAAAGCGTCAACAAAAGGAGCTAGTATTGTTCAAGTGTTGTTCTTAGAACACATATGTATTTATAGTTCAAGAGCATCAGAGCATTTCGAGCAATTATTTTTTGTTTGTTGCGAACATTCAGCGACCTCAGACAAGCCTACTCTCCGTAAGAACCTGGAGCTTCAGAAACATGGACAGCGAGCACCATCTGTGAAACAAAAGAGGAACATTGGCGCGTTCTCAACTGAGTCACCATGCGGCTAAAGGCTCGCTACAATTAAGTTACTGGACGACTTTTGTAGGAAGAGAAATATCTGTCCTCATGTGAGGCCCGTACGCATGAGAGGGTTAGGGTTGCACCTATCATTTTAAAGACGATAGTCTTTCTTGGGGACCTTCGACGCAAAAAGCTTAGTCTCCCTGTCTGTCTGTACATTTGTCAATTTGTCCACTCTTAACGGCACCAAGTACTTGAAACGACCGACCCCATCCGCACCACCCACCAATGTTGCACAATATTTAGCGTTCGTACTTGTGCAATTGTCAATTAAAAAGCAATCGTTGCGCATGTCTGGGGCACTATAACAACACGTATATGTATGTATTCTGCATGTGCGTATTTTACTAAAAAAAAAAAAAGGCATACATAAGTAATTTTAAGGCCCGTAGCGCTTATCACGCTGCGCTGACCATGCAATGCTTGCTCAAAAAGGCGAGTGTTTCCAATACTTTGCTAAGACGAGATGGTGGTGGCACCTTCCCGTCGCCTTGCGTTCTACACCGTATCACCTCTGAGACGGGTGCACACACCTGCCTCAGAGCCACGCGCTCCGTTTTCCAAGAAAACTGCCAGATGGCGCTCATGCATCATGTGTAACATGACTTGATGCGCTCGTTCGCCTCTGCTGCACGCTCGAGGCACTCTAACACAGCGCCTCCAGAATACCATTCACCGATTTTCTTGCGCAGAACATCAAATAAATCTCTTGTTCACTCTCTCAACACGCAAAACTATCGTCATTCGACAACATTTGCACATTAACATGCAGACATGGGGCCATTTTTTCTTTTTCTTTCAATCACTCGCGGCATCGTCCTAACTTTAGGCTGAACGCCCTTTGGAAGCCTCCAGGTTTCTGATCCGTAGGTAAGTAGCGGTAAGATGCAGCTGTTGTATACTTTCCTCTTGAGGGTTAGTGGCAGATTGCCATTCACGATTTGAGAATGCTCGCCGATTGTGACCCACCCCATTCTTATTGTTCTAGTTATATCACTTTGATGGTTCGACTCCGCGGTCACTACCTGTCCTAATAGACGTATACCTTTACAACTAGGGAGCCTTCTCTGCGCGCGTCTAACGGTGACGCGCCCGCATAAACGCTCCCTTTTACAACTTCAGCGTCTCCCCACCTATCTGAAAGTGCTGCTTCCTGCCGGAAAGGTTGCGCATTACTTTAGATTTGTGCGTAACTTTCAGACCTACTCTTCTGCTTTCCGTGTCCAGTTCAGTAATCGTGAGGTGTAATTCGTCTCCTATAAGTTACTCATCAAGGCAAAGTCACCAGCGAATTGCTTAACGTGTGCTGAAGTCACACAGCACATGGGCATCGACGGACGCAGCCGTCGTGACTGAACCCGCGACCTTCGAGTCAGCTGCCGAGCACCTCAACCGCTACACAACTGTGGAAGACTATCGTGGAGAGAGTAGAACATCAGGTTGGGTGCTAGATGGTGTCGGAGAAGGGCGGTGGAGGATCGGTACATAAACCAATGAAGAAAAAGAAGACTCCTTTTGCTCCGACAGGTATTCCCTGTCTGTTCCTAGGTAGGACTACGTGCCAAGCACGTCCTGCAGGACCAAAATATTGTACTTTTCATTTCATTTTATGCCTTTTGCCTTCGAGCTGTCCCCAGTGAACCACAAAGCTCGTGTGGACATGCATGGTATGTTTCTCATGGATATTGTAGATGTTTCTGTAAATGTAAAAGATCTTGGACATTGTAAATGTAAAAGATCTTTCTGAATGCACTCAAATACCTGGCTTGGTATGGTGCAAGTCAGCAGTTTCCAGAGTCTGCTGTTAGAAAACTGCACATCATCATCATCATCATCATCATTTATTATTTGATTATCATCGTCTAGCTTGCTTGCGTTTCCTTTCTCGAAAACTTGGCGCTCGCCACCTTCCATTCAAGAACGCTGCTTCACGCTGATAACGCGCTCACTGGTTGCGACGTGCACTTGCGGGGTGCACAGCGATAACGCAAAGAAAGGCACGCGAGATAGATAGGACGATTAGTTTTGTTGGACAAAAAAAAAGAGAGAGAGAGAGAGAGCAAGTGTAATCCTTTATTCCGCTTTGTTTCGTTTTATCTTTTTTTCACATTAGTATGCGGTGATAGCGGTTGTCTATGTCTGCTCATGGTGAACAGTCTTCCATACGAAACTTGCAAGTGACAGTCATTTCGCTCTAGTTTGCCTTTTTTGCCATCGCTTGTGTGTACAGTTTTA